TTTCTCGTATATTGTCAAAATACAAGATAAATGATATATTGTGCTCTCACAAATGGATAACCAGAAAAGAAAAGCAAACCCAGAAGGAAAAAAAGCGACGACGTATCCAATACTGAACCAAGAAAATAAGAGACGGTTCCTACTTATGGAACGACTTGACCTTCTCAACCTCATCGTAGCTACCCATGAAAATGCCGGACTTGTCGTGGATGTGCTCGGGGACGACCTCGAGCATGCGCTCCATCTTGGAGTTGACGGCCTGGCCTCCGGCGTTCTCAAAGACCATGGCCATGGGGGCGCACTCGTACAGAATGCGCAGCTTGCCCTTGGGGCTCTTGGAGTCGGCCGGGTAGGCAAAGATGCCGCCGTAGAGGAGGGTGCGGTAGGCGTCGGCCACCATGCTGCCAATGTAACGCGAGCTGTAGGGCTTGCCGTTGTCGGGCTGGGCCTCCTTGAGGGAGTTGAAGTAGGCCTTGACGCGGTCGTCCCAGTAGAGCGAGTTGCCCTCGTTGACGGAGTAGATGGCGCGCTTCTTGGGCAGGCGCATGTCGGGGTGCGTCAGGATGAACTCGCCCAGGCCGTTGTCGAGCGTGAAGCCGTTGACGCCGCCGCCCTTCATCGTGATGACGAGCTGCGCCGAGGCGCCGTACATGGTGAAACCGGCCGCCACCAGCTCGGTGCCGGGCTTCAGGATGTCCGCAGCCTCGCCCGTCGAGCCCTCGGCTAGCTTGTGGATGGCGAAGATGGTGCCGACCGACACACCGGCGTCGAGGTTGGAGCTACCGTCGATGGGGTCGCAGGCAACGGCGTAGCGGGCGCGCTCGCTGGACTTGCCATCGGCCGAGTTGGCGCCGGTGAAAAAGATGATGTTCTCCTCCTCCTCGGAGACCAGCAGGGCGCAGCGGCCCGACGACCGCATGACCTCGATGAACAGGTCATTGGAAATGACATCGAGCTTCTTCTGGTCGTCGCCCGTGGTGTTGGACGAACCGGCCAGACCCGTCAAGTTGATGAGGGTAGCACGGCGGATGTAGTATGCAATGGACTTGAAGGAGAATTGCAGTGCGTGGCACAGAAGTCTGTAAGCGGACTCGTGTTAGTGAGGGGCATCTTTGCCAAGAGGAGACGAGAAGCTGTACGGTAGATGGGAGATGCTAGTTTTCCAAAAATCAAGAGAAAAAAAACTCAAGACGCGTACGTAAAGTCACCAGTGGCCTCGGGCTGCTTGTTCTGTCCCTCCGTCAGGAAGCGTGTGAGGGTCACAATGTTGTAGTTGACCTGTTCTGGCATAACGCCATCGTCGGAGGCACCCATGGTGGCTATTGGGGGGGTGAGGTTGCGGAGGGAAAGTCGATAAAAAAAGAAAAGGAGACAAAAAAGAAAAGGAGACAAAAAAGAAAAGGAGACAAAAAAGAAAAGGAAACAAAACGAAGCTCGCGAGGATGAGCTGTGTCTCTTTGTTCAGATTGCAATGGGAGCCGAAAATGGAGGGGAAGGTACGGTGGCCGGCTCGGATGACGTAGCGTGGGAAGGAGCGTAGCTAGTTATACGGATACGGATACTGCAGGTGCAGCTGACTGTTGAGGCGTTCTTTCTGTGTCTCGGTACCTGTAAAGTATCGTCAAATTCTCGATCAGGAACAAACAGCAAAAAGGGCAGGCACGCATGACCGTTACGAAAACGGCCGGGGCTTCTTCTTATATTGGTCTGGGCTGAACTGGGCAGGTACGATGAACGAACAACCGATAATAGGTAGGGCCAGAGCCCGCCTACGCAGCGGCGCTCGGCTGTGGAGCACCGAGAATCAAAAGGACAGGGGCAAAAAGGGAAGCTGGGCGCTTTCCCTGTCGGTTGCGGAGAACGGCTAGCGGACGACTGACGGTTTCTCACGACGATTGGTGGTTTTTTCATGGCATGAGGGTATCCACGAGTTTGGTAGATTGATGGAGCACGAGAACAGCAAGCTTTTATTTTTTAATTGAACGGATATTCGGGTGCAGAGGCACAGAAGCATAGAAGCGCTGCAAAGCTCAAAGAAAGATGACGAGACGGGCCTGTTTTCGTTACAAAGCATTTGAGTGGCCAAGGTCATCGCCGGCTGGTCCTTCCTTTGAGTGCACGAGACGTCCTTCCCCCTCCTGTGAGCGAGCGTCACGCTCGTCCGTGGCGCCTTCCCCCGTCTCTTGCTCTTACAGACCAATTGCCCCTTGGGGATCCGACTTGAGCTAGATCAACCCATAAATACCGGGGATGATCAATGGCTATGCGCAAGATAGGTAATTACGAGACTTGTCTCTTGTCATATGAAGAATGCAGCAACAGAGACACCAGCGAATGTGGCGCCCGGCCGAGGGGAATGTAGACCGTGTTTGGTAATTCTGGTGGGTGTTGCTGGCTGCAAAGAAGATTTCCCGGGTTGGCAAGTGCCGTAATAGCCCACATTAGCCCGAGCGGGTTCCAGTGCAAGCCGTGGAGCTTCGCAAGTAGTCCACAGTCGGAAAGCAGCAGGAAGCTCTTTCCCACCGGCATCACCTGTAACGCGCCATCAGATGACCTGTGCAGGTGCGTGACCTCTAGGTGCATGACATAACGAGCTGGCGCGGGGGCAACAACGGGCAGGAACCAGGAAAGGCCGGGCTTTTCCGAAATCGCATACAGTCATATATAATATGTTTAAATGAATTGCGATTAGGCGCATGCGCTCCCTGATTTCCCGGACGCTGCAAGCGGCCAGTTTTGCGGAGAATTTCCACTTTTTATTGGCCATTCCTAGGTAATGCAATCCACGCTGCTGTTGCAGTTCGCTAACGTTGAGCCGGCGGAGCCAGATTCTCCAGACCAGACACTTCAAACCTCGGCATGTGCACATTGGAAGGGGGGCCAAGCGCAATACACCAACGACTCCCAAGCCGGGAACCTCGCCAGCTCGCCCGCAGTCTTTCCCCAGACGACACCATCGGTTCGCTCTTTCCTCGTGATTCACCTCGAAAGAGACGCAACAAAGCATAGCGACACTAGCAGGGCAGGCGCGCATTAAAATTAAATACACCGGCAAAAACCTCCTTCCTTGTCTTGATCTTGCCTCAGCCTCGCTTTTGACATCTCGTTCCCTTCCTTTCTGCTTCTTCTTCTTCCTCCCGTCTTTTTTTCTCTTTTTGCCCTCTTATTCTGTTCTGACGTCTCCGCATCACGTCTTCACTCCACATCCCTATACCGGAGCATTATTACCCCAGCCTCCTGTCGACCTTGCCGCCGATTGTCTCTTTCTTCCGACGACTCTCGCACCACTTCGACCGCCTCCTCCTCCGGCAGTTTTTATCGCGACCTCGAACGTCCAACATTTGTTTCACAACTCTCTCCTTCCTTATCACCAACCCTCCTCCCCCTCCTCTCCCTCCTCCTCTTCCCCATACACAATGGTTGCCGACGCGCTCGTGTTCCACCCGACGGTGGCGCACTATCTCCGCTTCGCCGCCACGACCGTCGGCCGCGACAAGCTGATGCGCACAGTCCAGTACTTTGCGCGCTTCTATGTCTGGTACCGCCTGCGCACGAATGCCACGACCGCCGAAGTGGCGCCCTGGGCCGCCCTCAAGGCCGTCCTCGGCAAGGCCCGCAAGCTGCTGCAGGCCGGCAAGAACCTGGAGCACTTCAAGTCCGCCGTGGCCGCGTCGCAAGACCCTAAGCTGTCGACGGCTGCCGTCGGCTCGCCCGTGCTGCGCTACGCCACCGTGGGCCGGCAGCTGAGCTATGCCAGCTACCTTACGATCGAGCTGATTATGCTGCCCGAGACGCTGGGCGTGAGCAAGCTCTCCAACCGCACGCTGGCCACGCGCCTCAAGCGCGACTCGGCCCGCCTGTGGACGCTGGGTCTGCTGTGCTCTGTTTTTGCACAGGTCTTTACGCTGCGCCGCCTGCAGGAGCGCGAGGCCCGCATCGACCGCAAGGACGGCGAGGGCGTTGTGGAGGGCAAGCGCATTGCCAAGGAGCGCCAGGCCAGCCACCTGCAGCTGCTGTGCGACGTCTGCGACCTGACCAACACCACGAGCAGCCTGGGCTGGACCAACTTTGACGACGGCGTGGTTGGTCTGGCCGGTACGGCATCGGGTATTGTTGGTATCTACAACCAGTGGAAGAAGACGGCGTAAGTCACGCATGCCGTCGGCTGTAGTCCTCCTCCTGTAACACCACCACTCTGAAAGCAAGACAACCAGCAGCAAAACAAAACAGAAAAGAAAAGAAAAATCCAACCGACAAATACAAAAGGGGCGGAGAGAGAGAGATGAGGATGAAGACAGTTGGGCCGGGCGACAACTGATGCCGATTGGAGAGAATGAGAACGTGGTTCTCTTTTGTGTTACCGTGTTTTGCTTGTTCATGCGGCATCGCGTCCTGTTCACGTTTATATTGTACTCGCTTCCATGCTTTCATCCATTTCTACACTATTGTTTTTATTTCAGGAAATAGCAATTTGAAATAGACTATAATACCAACCTTTTCCAGGTTACGTGTGCGTGGAGACGATCGTTCTGCTCTGTGGTCACCGGGATGTGAGTTGAGTTCACTTGTCACATGCAAATCCGCAGCAAATCTGCAGCAAACCTGCACCGCCAACTTGCAAGCGTCAAAAATGTAATATTAAAGGACAAGCCTTACGGGTCTCTATCTAATGAAGGGGTTACATGCAACCGCGCTCCGACGGGGGGGATCGTACACAAAGCACACGCCAACGTCAACCAAATGCTCAACGGGTTAAATCAAAACAAAAAACGGCAAATCAACAGCCAAATTCAGCCCATACATTGCGAGCGAGTCCTGGCCAGGACGCTGCTCAATACAGAATCCGTCCCTCCATTCCTCCATTTTATACAATTGCGGGCCGTTCCGCCTAGTTCCGCCAGCTCCCTCTCTGCTTTTCTTTTTTGTTTCCTTCTTCTTTCGCGTTCATCTTTTTTTTTCGTTTTTTGTCCTCTCTCTTTCCTTCCTCCCACGTCTCCTGTTCAGTGAGCACTCGTCACTTCGCGGTAGTATGCAAACGCAAGGTCGGACGAGTACCGAACACGCCGGTCCTCCGTCAAGGGCAGTCGAGAAATCTTGGTCAAGTCCATCTACAAGCAACTGTTAGCATCTGTGTCCGTAACCGTGGCAGTCCGGGGCATGCATAAACGGGACATAATAGAAATACTCACTCTGCCCTTGTTGGCAAGCACCATCGTCTCCTTCGCCACCACATCTGCCATCTCCGTAATGGCCGCCACCTCCGTCGGCAGCGCATTGCCTGCGTTGTCGTACATGGCCGGCAGGCTGGCGGCCAGCGCCTCCACGGCACCAAGCAGCTGCGCGGAGGCCTGCTTAGCCTCGTCACGCGCCTGTTGCTGCTGGCGTCCTCGCGTACGTCGTGCAGCACTGCCGCCCGAGCCGCCGGTACCACTGCCACCGAGCGTGCCTCCACGCTGCAGCGTCAGCAGGTCGAGGAACCGACTGTACACTTCGCCGCCCAGCGCCCAGTCTTTGATCTGCTGGCGGTGAGGCTGCAGCTTCTCGAGCATTTCCGCAATGTCGCTGTAGTTGCGCTCGACAACGGCCTTGGGCGCCAGCTCCTTGACAAAGATGCGGTGCGCATCCGCAAAGGCTGACGCACGCAGAAGACACTCGGCTTCCAGCACGGGCTGGTTCTGCTGGTTGCGCCAGTAGAGCGCGGCGGCCTGCCACACCCACTGCGCCGGGATCTTGAGGTCGTCCACCAGCTTGTCGTACAGGCTCGACTGGGCGCCGTTGTTGACAAACAGTGAGCCCGTGTGGCGCGCCAGCACGTCCTGGACCGCGTGTATCCGTGCTGTGCGGTCAGACAGATGCAGCAGAACCCAGATGGCATGAACCCAGGCACCATCGTCCGGGCTGTTGGAAGATCGGTCGTTTTGGTACACGACCTCGGATGCGTAAGACGTAGAGAGTGCGTCAGCCTTTTCCGAAGACAGCTTGGCCGATGCGCTGATGTGCTTGGCGCCCGACAGGGCCTGGCTGATTTGCCAGCAGAATCGGTACCGGAACGGCGACGGCTGTGAGTTTTCGGGCTCCAGCACATCTTCCAGGCGGGCAAGGCCGGCAGCGACCTTGAGGAGACCGAACAGCAGGTCCTCGCGAAGCTCGCGCTGGGGGTCGGTCCAGGCAGCAGTGATGTCGCGCTGTTTCGTGTACCATGGCCGAGGGGCAGGCACGCGGCCTTGCTCGAGATCCTCAACGTACTTGGCCACAGCCGACTCAATCCCCTCGCCCGCAGCGATGCCGTACCAGAGACGGAGGCCGAATGCTTGCTTCCAGTCGAGGCCGAACCAGTTGGACACGACCACCGAGTTCATGCGGTTCTCGACACCGCCGCCCTTCTTGCCCTCGCAGACGGCCACGTTACCAGCGAGCAGCGAGTAGATCGACCGCAGCGGCACGCTGAACTCGGAGAGAGCATCGCCCTGCTGCCAGTCGTCCACCTGCTCCCGCATGTCCTTCTTGAAGGCATCGCCTGTGCCAATCAGCGAGACCAGTGTGGCCAGCTTAAAGTTCTTGCCATCCACGAGCGCGCGGCAGGCCTCAGGGACCTTGCGGGACGCCAGGTAGAGGACTGCCTTTTGTTCAAATGACTGTGCCTGGTCCAGGGGCTTGGCCGAAGACGAGTCCTGCACAAGTTGCGCCCAGAACGTGGCCAGATTGGCCCTGCGCTGGCGCGCTTCGTCTCCCGGGTTCGAAGCATGCTCGTCGACAGGATCAAATAGCACGCTGGCAAGTTCCCATACAGACTGCTCGTATGAGCCCAGCTGCTGTGATATGGTGCTGGCGGACGCTGACCGACGCTGGTTAGCTTGCTCACAGAAACCGGCAAAGGCCTTAATTTCGGGGATGCGGCGAGTCGAGATCGCCGGCACACCGTCCACGACCTGGACATCCACGACATCTTTGTGGTCGGACAGACCCTCAACGGAGTACTGGACCTTGTTAGTTTTTTTATCATTTTTTATTTTCATTTTTTTTTTTTGTCTGTGGTATTTAAGCATATAAGGGGAAAGCATCTCTTGCCACGTACGTCTGTGAGCTGCGCACCAATGGGGTCGAATATCCGAATTCGCTTCAGCGAGGGTTCGGTGTCATCGTTTTGTGCCTCGGTGACAATGCACGCTCCGTCCGTGGACCAGATAGGTCTCGCGGCATCATGGAAAGCGCGGTCCGTTGGGTCCATGGTGGCCTGATCGTCGTCGGCCGTCTTGTTGGTTCGCTTGTAAGGCCACTAGAAACAGAACAACATTTAGTCCAGGTGTTCAGTTTTGTTTTTTGTTTGATTTTCAGGTTTTGTATTTGTTACCAAGTACGGTACACGACAGATGTAAATATTAAATAGGGGAAGCAAGGGACAAAATGACGGAATGGGTTTCCAACGCCGATGTGCATACAATCATGTGGATGTGGAACGTGCTGAGAATAACAAAGCGAGGTAGAATAAGTGTGAATGGTACGGGGGGAAAACATCAAATTGGGAGAACCAAAAGTCGTCCATCTACTGGATGAGGAGGGCACTACGGACCTTCACAAATCCCTTGGCGGGGGTAATCGTCTCCGGCGCCTGGGTCGTCGGGGCCTTGGCCTTTTCAAAGAGCGAGTTCATGAGGTCGATGCTGGTGGCGAAACCACGGTTGTCGATTGCGCCGAAGCCACGACCCGCGGTGGACGCAGCGGCCTTCTTGTCAAAGTTGGCGATGCTTTCGTTGAATGAAGGCTTCTCGGGAGCGCCGTTCTCGCCCAGTGCCTTGAGAGCGGCACGGTCACGCTTCTGGGGGCTGACCGTCTTCTGCAGCATGTCCATCCAGTTGTCGCCGTCGGCGACCTGCAGCTTCAGTGGTGTGTTGGACTCCTTGATTGCCCGGAGGCGAGCCCGCATGATGCCGGCAGGCGTTTCTTGGACAACGGGGGGCAGGTCGGGGAGGAAGGGGTAGGGTTCGAGGCTGTTGTTGTCGTCAAGCTCCGCGGCAGAATAGAGCTGCTGAGAAAAAGGCGCCTCGCCCTCGTTCTCATACAGACCACTATCCTCGCCTTGTTCCATGTCGTGGTCGTGCTCCATCGTGCTGATGGGCACCACGGCTTGGGCGTTCATGTCCGCGGAGCGATTAGATAAAAAAGACTGCTGGAAAGTCACATCGCCTTCTTCGTCCTCGTCATCCATAATGTCGTGGCTGTCATCAAACGCACCGGGGACGGAGACGTGCTTGCGGCGACGAAAGTCGAACGTATCCTCGTCGTTCACCTGCTCCGTCGACGGTAGCACTGTGTTGTAGGCGGGCACAGGCGCAGCGTTGCCAGCGGCTGCAGAGAGGCGGGTTGTCTCTGCGTCGGTCTCGTCATCGTCGTCGTCGTCCAGGCCGTAGGTGGTGAAGTGCTCCACTCGGAAGACCCACGCGGCGGTCTGCTCGTCGTAGCTGACAAAAGTGGTATCAGGAATGTTCTTGAGGCGCGTGATATGCTTCTTCATTTTGGCGGGGTTCGCGTCTGGTCCGCTGCGGGGACAAGTGTGAAGAAGGAGGATCTCAGCCGGGACGTTGAGGCCCTGTCCGACAGGCGGCTTGGTGTTGACGTCAGGGTAGACCGTGGCGGAGCGGATGATGAGCGTGACGATACCGTCCATGATGGAGTCCAGGTTGATCTTGGTCAGATCAACAGGGACGCGGAAGCGCACCTGGCCGACATTCGTGCGGCCGACGGTGAAGTTGACGACCTGCTGGCGCTGGACGCGGTTCATCTGCTCAATCTCCTCCTTGGAGGGCGACATCCAGTAGTTGCCAAGCTCCTTGCTGTTAACGCGGTAGTTGCTGGGGATGCAACGGGCTCGCACGGGTGAGGCCTCCTCCTCGTGCACAATGGCAAGCTCTTTGCCGGTGACCTGCTCCATCTCGGGCTCATTGGACGCCGGCGAGACAACCAGCGCGGAGCTGCTGCCGTTGCCAGCAGTGTTGGAGGAGCTGCTGGTGCCGTTGGATGGGCGCCTCTGGGGGCGCAGGTAGCCCATATCCGGTTCGCTGCCACTGCCGCTGGCCGGGCCGTTGTTACCGTTGAGGCCCTCGGGGACGGAATCCTTGGCTATGGTGGTATCGAAGCTCACTCTCTTGGTCAGCTTCCGGGTGCTGCCGAGACTGGCGTCGGTCAAGGAATCGGCACCACCAGAGTCTCTGACCTTGCTGGGGGTGGAAAACAGATCAGAGCGCATGTCGCGGTTGATGACAAGCTTCTTGCTGCTTCCTGTGCTGCCGTAGAAGCGTGGGCCCGAGTTGGACGAGAAGGCGCCGGGGAGCAGAATGCTGTCCTCGGGGTTGAAGGTCCGGCGCAGGTTGCTCGACGAAATGCTCTTCGTCAGGCCGCCGCGTCCGATGCTACCAACCAGCAGGCTCTGGCTCATGGTGCCGGGCGTGCTCGCAGTGCTGGAAACGCTGCTCGGGGTGCCAAAGGTGCTGTACGAGAAGCCGTAGCCACGCTTTTGGGGAGTGGCGAACTTGGATGCCGAGCCCGGGGTCATCTTGTACAGCGGCAAGATCGAACTTCTCCTAGAAGTCTTGGTCTTGTTGACGGACAGAGGGGTCGCAAGAGGGCCAGGGTTCTGCACCTCTTGGGCGGCCAAGCTCTGGAAGAGCGAGGGCGCACCATATGCACCAGTGTCGTTGATGCTCGTGGTCAGGCCCTGAGATGCACCCAGGCCTGGGTTGCCTTGCTGCGCGTTTCCAAAGAGAGAACCGCCAAGACCACCAGCCTGAGGCTGGACCGCGGTTGTGCTCTGGCCGAACAGACCGCCTTGCTGTTGCTGTGGGTTCTGCTGGCCGCCAAAGAGACCGCCGCCGGTGGCAGGGGCCGCTGTGCCGAACAGAGACGGCTTCTGCTGAGCCTGGCCCAGGGAGCTGCCAAATAGACTGCTAGTCTGCGCCGGCTGCTGTTGTGTCTGGGCTGTCTGGCCAATACCGCCAAAGAGACCGCCACCAGTGGTCGTGCTAGCCGCAGGTGTGCTACCAAAGAGGCCGCCAGTCGTGGTTGTTGCCGGTTTTGCGCCAAAGAGACCACCGGTCTGCTGTGTACCAGCAGTGCCGCCGAATGGTGTGGATGTCGTGGATGAGCCAAAGAGTGACCCGCCAGTTGTACCGGTGCCGGCTGCCGGTGTCGAGGTTGAGCCGAACAGACCGCCAGTAGCAGGCTTAGCCTGACCGAAAAGGCCACCACCGGTCTGCTGCTGGGCACCGAATCCAGAAGCTGCCTGGGTGCCGAAACCCGAGGAAGCAGCACCCGTCTGGCCACCGCCGCCAAAAAGACCACCGCCAGGTGTGGTGCTGGCCGCCGGTGTGCTGCCAAAGAGACCGCCTCCAGTAGTGGTGGCAGCCTGGGGGGTGCCGAACGCGCTTGTACCTCCAGTGGCACCGAAGCCAGTCGTGCCCTGCGTGGTGCTTCCGAAACCAAATCCGCCAGCAGGCTTACTCTGGGTCGCGGTGCTGCCGAAGAGCGAACCTGTACCAGCAGCGGGCGTCGAACCGAAACCGCCAGCGGTGGTAGACGAGCCGAATCCACCAGTGGTGCCGCCACCACCAAAGATACCACCCGTTTGTGCTGGCTGGGCAGGCGTGGTGCTGCCGAAAAGGCCGCCAGTTGTGGCAGGCTTCGCGCCGAACAGGCCGCCGCCAGTGGAGGTGCTGCCGAAGCCGCCCGTGGTCGTGCCGGTCTGGGCGCCGAAGCCACCAGTGGTCGTCCCGCCACCACCGAACAGACCGCCAGTCGTGCCTGTCGTAGAGGGAGTGGTTGACGCACCGAAGCCGCCAAAGTTGGAGCCGACACCAAATGCGCCGGTTCCGGTCGCATTGCCGTAGCGGCGGCCTTGGTTGTAATCGGTCAAACGAAGCTCTTCGGGAGACCACTTTTTGTAGGCATCCATGAAGAGGATATTTTGGAAGCTGTTTTGCTGGTTGGTTGTTGCTTCCTTCTCAATATACGGCTGGAAGGCGACGGAGTTGGTGCCAGGAGGGTCACCAACATTGGTGCCAATACCCGGGTTGGCCGTCGCGCCAAACCCAGCCGTGGTGCCACTACCAAAAGATGACGTCGTGCTGGCAGCAGGCGTCGTGCCGAAGAGGCCACCAGTGCCCGTCGTTGAGCCGAAGGCAGGTTTAGCTGCTGTGGAGCCAAACAGTGAGGTGCCGCCGCCGGCACCGAATGGTGAAGAGGTTGCTGCAGGATTACCGAATCCGCCGCCGCCGCCAAAGCCTGAGCTACCAGCAGTTGCCGTCGTGGATCCGAACAGACCGCCACCGGCTGAGGTCGTCGCCCCGAATGCAGGCTTCGCACCGAAACCGCCAGTGCCGGTGCTGCCAAAGCCTCCTATAATGCATGCAGATGTGGTTAGTCACGGAACAGATGTAGAGGATATGTGAAAAAGATGCAGAAAAGAAGAAAAAATAGCAAAAGGAGCAAGTGTAAAATTAAGTTAGGTGCGTATGGGAGGACAGGAGAAGAAAAAGGATAGCAGAGAGCAGGGCAGAGATAGTTTCTTGAAAAAGGGTCAACGCGTAGGAAAGGCGCCTGATGCCATACCGGTCGAGGATCCAAAGCCGCCGCCAGTTGCTCCGGTGTTGCCAAAGAGACCGGTACCGGTGTTCTGAGTGGCGCCGCCAAATGAGTTTGTATTTGTTCCAAACCCTGGTTCGATGAGCACGTAAGAAGAGAGGAGAGAATCTCGTTAGTCCTGCGGTGTCTGGGGGGAAGACGGATACTGATCTTTGGGGCCGGTTGATAGATGGTGAAGACGGCGAACTTAAGAGTTGAAGAAAGCAAATGAGCTCAAACAAGACGCGTCGCGAAGTACATTCTCGCCCGCTGTCTCCTCTCTTCGTCCCCCACTAGTCGTAGCTTTGTCCAGCAAGGCGCCATGTGGTGAATGCCGAGGAGTGAAGAAGTAGATGAGCAAGGTAGAGGAAGAGTGAAGATAGTACAGACGCGATAACATGACTTGCAGGCAGGTAGAAAGCACAAAAGAAAAGACGAAAAGCAACACAGTACTGATGCGAGACAGAGGGATAGGGAGAGAGAAAAACAGAAAAAGTCGACTCTGGTACATACCTCCTGTCGTAGTGTTGCTGGTGGACCCAAAGCCGCCAAAGCCGCCGGTCTGCTGGGTCGGGTTCTGCTGGCCGAAGCCACCGAAACCACCCCCGAACGACATTGTTGCGTGTCGAAGAGTTTGTCGCCTTGATCTATGAGTTGTACCTCAGAACTATCAAGGGCGAGTCGAGTTGTATAGGTGGAGTGACAGAGGTGATACGTGGTCGTGAATAGGAAGCGCGTCGTTCGCCCGGTCACCGAAATCGACGCCTACTCGGTCGATGCAAGAAAACGGACGCGTCAACGTCGCCGCCGTAGGTTACAGCGCGTTTCGATCTGAAGATGGCCCAGGCTTAGTGCCGTTCTTGTTGCTTCCCACTGTCGACCAAAACGATATTGTTTTGGAAGCTCCCAAATGGCGCGTCGCGAGGTTCTGTCGCGAGGAGAGGCCGGGGGAGAAAGAGGTGTTGTCGGAGCTTAAAAACCGTGATCGGGAGCTACCAGCATGTCGATCTGAGTCGAGTGAACGGCTTGCTCGGCGATGCGGCGCGTACGTGTCGGACGATTTGCAGCTGTCGCTCGTCGTCGTTGTTGTTGTTGTTGTCGAATAAAGATTGAAAGAAAAACCAGAGCAGGAAAAATGGGCTGCGGATTTTGGGACGCGGCTGGTCTCTTTTTTTGGGCTGCGAAAGCAGACAAGGGGGGTGAAAAAGAACACAAGCGAGCGAACGATAAATTTCAAGGAAAAATGGGCAGACAGCAGCGCTGTATATGAAGATATAAATAAAGAAAAAATAAAGAAAGGAAGTGGTCAGAAAAAAGGAGAGGAAGGATTGGGAGGAAACGGAAAGAGAAGCTCTAGTATTCCCTTTGTAGAAAACGGAAGGAAGAGAGAAAAGAGTGAGGGTAAATAGCTTCCCTGGCGAAGACGCTCCTATTTTTTCTGCCCTTGGTATTGGGAGTCAGAACGAGGACACAGAGGCGGAAGACAGAAGGCGCAAACCACCCTTGGAAGGTACGGTTTTGTGTGGTTGCAGGCGCTATAGAAGACATTCAGTAGGCCGCAGGAGCGGTCGACAGCAGGAGGAAAGGGCGAAAATACGTGGCCAGCAAAGCATTTTCGCGCAGAACGGCGAGAAAACAAGACAGAGGGGAGACAGGCCTTTGGCGCGTGGCTTGGGTGGAGTCCTCCGAGCCATTGTTCGATGGCCATTTTCCACCAGATGGCCTCAGGCAGCAGCAGGTTGGTGTCCAATTGTATACGATGATTCGCTGCAGCTCTCCAATCAGCCAATCAGAAGCCCACATTCTGACCAGAGCTGCTGGCCTGCGCCTGCCTAGAATAAGGTAGTCAACGCGCACGGCGCGACGGCGCTAAAGTGGGCCTCATCAAGCTCCTGCCCACTAACAGAGCAGAATCGAGCTTTTTAGATCTCCTGTGAAGTTGTCTGGCGCAAGGCAAACTCGGTGATGACTCCTGTTCTGATAAAGCACGCTGAAGAAAGGAGAGACGGAGTGGTAAATGAGGAGAGCAAGGGTTTCGGCTGTAGTCACGAGGTCGAAATCACCAGGCTTGGATTACAAAAATGACAAATCGATGGCAACAGGCCCAGTGCGAAACGAGAAGACACTCGCACAGATCGGCAGGCGGACAAAAGGGCGAGGCAGAATGAACAATCAATTCAAGACTGTTTTTGGTTATATAAAATATGACTTAATGTACTCTGAAATAAAATAAATGAAACGAAACAAAATAAAGCCAATACCCAAAGTACGCACGCAGCAACGGGAAATGGGGAAAGCAGAACACAGGTGTGGACAGAGAGAAAGTCGCATTGTTAAAGGACGTAGATGAAGATAAAGAGACGGGAGGGAGAGGGAAACAGAGAAAGGGAAAAGCACGGAATGAGTGAGCTGGTATTTTTATCTTCCCTCCACCTCAACCGGACAAATCCGTACTCCCACAGACTCGACAGCCCCAGACGTATCGGATGTTGACAGCAAAGAAGAAGTATGAACAGGAGCAGACAAGGCGTGAGACAAAGAAGATGTTTGAGAGATCGAAGGGTTGAGAATAGGCATGGGCTAAAAGAGCTAGAGATGGAGGGGCACCGATAAAAAAGTTCATATGCAAACAGGAAGCCTAGAACTGGATAAGGTCCTGGTTGCCCGTCTGCCGCTGCTGCGGCTGTGCGCCGAACGGATTCGCCGAAGGCCCGTTGCCGTAGGACGGAGCGGGCATGCCAGTGAACTGCTGGCGCATAAAGGGATTGTTCGTACCGGTGGCATCGCCCGTGAGGCGATTCAGGTTGGAACCGGCGCTGTTGACAAATGTGCCGGGCGCGGTGTGCTGCGCAGGAATACGGAGCTGGCCCGTGTTGCCAAAGGTGTCCATGCCCTCGCCGCCCGCCAGCAGTGCGTTGAGGCGTGCCTCGTGCTCGCTGACTTCCTTCTGGGGCTGCTGTGGTTGCTGTTGTGCCTGGAAGGGTTGTGCTTGTGCTTGTGGCTGGCCAAATGATGCGAGTGTCTTTTGCTCGGGCAGGCTCGAGAGCGTGTTGAAGGACGGCTTGAACGGCTGCTGCTGCTGCTGTTGCGGTCTTGCGTTGTTCGCGCCGGCCGAGGCGAAGGGGTTGTTGGAGCCGGTGGGCAGGGGTTGCAAGGGCTGGGCGCTGCCGTTGTTTGCCGACGACCATGGGTTGTTGCTGCCGGGCTGCAGAGAGGACGAGTCTTGCTGCTGGGGCTGCTGGATCTGCGTGTTGTAGGGGTTGTTGGAGAAGGACGTCGGCTGCTGTTGCAGCTGGTAGCCCTGCTGGCCGTATGGGTCGAAGCCGGTCTGCTGGGTGGCGAAGCCGTTTGTACCGAAGCCGTTCTGATAGCCGGTGGGCTGGCCGGCGAAGTTGCCGTACGGGTTGTAGCCGGTCGGCTGCATCTGCATCTGCATCTGGCTCTGATCAATGGGGTTGGCAAAGAAATCGACAGCGCTGCCCTGCTGGTAGCCCTGGTTGAAACCGGTGAACTGGGCGGCAGCTGGCTGGGCGGGTTGCTCGACATCGAACAGCAGGTCGATGTTGTTGCTGCTGTTGTTGTTGTTGCTGTTCGCCTCGAGCTGCTGGCGGCGGCGCTCCTCCTCCTCCTTACTCAGCTTGATGGCCTTGGCCAGGTCGTCGTCGTCTTCCTCGGCATTCCCACTCCGGCCCTCGCGCTTCCGACGGTCCTCCTCCTCCTGCGCCTTGCTCGCCTCGATCGCCAGCCGGTACTCGGCGTCATCGTCGTCGTTACCGCCGCCGCGCCGGTCCCGGTTGCGCCGGGGCGGTGGGGGAAGGTCTCCGCCTTGGCCGCCGGGGCCGTACTCGTCGAGGCCAGTTACCCGCGACTTCCAGCTCTTCCGGTCGCTGCGCTCAGTGCGCAGTCGCTCATCGTCCTGGATCAAAGCAGTCAACTCTTTCGCGGCAATGCGAACTATAGAGAGGCTTGTTAGTGACTCGTCAGAGGATCAAAGGATGACAATGAAAAGGGTGCCTAGTTCCATCTCGTACCATTGTTTCCGACATCACGACCCTCCTCGTCAATGTAGATAAACTCGCGGAGCGTCCGGATAATATACAGGTTGTGCTTGGACCACGAGACAACCAGCTCGGACCCCTCGTGGAGACAGTAGTCGAGGACCTTGAGGGCCTTGAGAACGTGACGCCAGTTCTTGCCCTTGTCGTTTAACCGCTTGTCGATAATGTCCATTATGTCGTTGAAGTCGGTTGACGAGTTGAAGGTGAGCTGTGCGATCTCGCTCATCTGCGTGCCGGTCGGGCCCCATGGGTCGTTGCTGGTCGCTGTAGGAAAAAGAGAGGCCTGGTTAGCATGACGTGCAACCATGAAAGTGCCAAGATAAGGACAACAAGAGAGAGTTCGGCCAACCTTCGCGGACCTTCACCTGGGAGCTGGAATAGCCCTTGGTGACGTTCTTGACGCTTCTCATAACCTTTGACATGATGGGCGACTGGGTGGTCCAAGAGACCGGTTTGTGCAGCTAAAGAAACGAGAAAGGGGGTTGTATGCAGTCTCGGTCGGGGTAAAACGAAAGGAGACGGAGTCGTCGTAATGCGACGTTGGCGATTGCGATTGCGTGAAGAAACAGTAACGGTTCGTCGAAAACGGACAGGGCACCCTTGGGATTCACGCAGAAAGATGCAAGGACGGCGCACGTCAACAACGCAGCGACGAGACCGCAGAAAGAGGGTCGGTACGGGGTGCTGGTAGTCGGGCGGGACAGGTTGGTCTGGCTGCCCACCAAATGTACGAAAGTGGGCGGAGAAAAGAGATAAAACGATGTTCGTCGGATGCGCAGGCGATTGAGGGAAAGGAGAAGCGAGAGAATGGGGGCAGGAAATCAGGACGGATAGCGAATACTGTCAAAGCAAAAGCGAGGAGCCGTAGCAAATAAAACGAACGTGCCGCGCAGTCGTTGTTGCGATACAGAGAGATGTTTGAGAGGGAGAGAGAGGTGAGAGAGAACAAGAGGAGGGCGAGAAGGCGAGTGAGCGAGAGGAGATTGTTGGAACGTGAAAATGGCGAGGTCGGTGCTTCGCGGTGGAGCTTTCCTTGGTAGCAGTGACCCGAGTCTTGAGCGAAATGGGCAGGAAGTGCGAAGTAGTGGCTTCTAGACAGCCCTCTGGGGGGCAGTTGCATTCGACACGACACAGGTACTTTACAGCATGCAGAGGCCGTTGACCAAGGAAGGTGCAAGAAATGGTTCGAGAAGGGCAAGAACAGTTTTGGTAGACGGCAAGAAGCAACGACGGCGACCGGATGTCAAAGCGCATAAAAGTGAAAGAGCCAACAACAAGCACGCTGCGAAAAGCAGATTTTCGCTGTTTTATTTGAAAAAATATTTTCGTTTTTGTTTTCCTGTTTCTCCGTGTCACGGGCGCGAGAAACCGGACCGGACGCAATTCGCAGGTGATGCGTATCCCGGTTGGGCCTGCGTAGCACTGTCATTCCCACTGGGAAAGGGGAGGGGAAGGGGGAGGGGTTTTGCGCCCAGAAAGCAGAATGCACGAGAGGGGCGCAGCTGTTAGTGCACTAATTACGACTAATTACGACTGTGTTTAGCGGGCGCTGGACAGCGCTGGCACAGAGCATCATTGATTAGGCTGCCAAATAACTAAGATTAGTTATGCAGGTCCCTAAATAAGGCGTGACATTTGCTGTAGAGGATATTCCCTTACAAACGATTCCAAACTTTACAGCCAACATGCAACATTCCGCCCAAGACAGCACCTGGAATTATGCTTCTCGAAGCGGCACAGAACATTTGGAACGTTTTGGAACCTTGGGAAGAAGCAAGTTCAACTACTAATATTATTACACAGAAACCCGTAAACGGGAAGAAAGCCCAACATGACGAACGCCCAACACAACCAATGCGAGATACTACCATCGTCGGCAAATTTGTGTCGTTTGTCAATCTACTGTCATTTTCTACAACCAGTCCTCAGAGGAACAGCGGGAGATGCGGTGAAGAAAAGAGCCTGCGCAAGCAGTGTTGCGCGGCCTTTCTCGGCGACGACGGCAGCTGATTGATCGCAAAAGACTCGCCCGGAGTAGTCAGCTAAGCAGGCAGTGGGTGACCAGGACACCTTTACGTCGTAGGCCGGCTGGCCGGGTAAGAAAAGAGCGACGAGAAAACAAAGGGAAAAAAAGAAACGGACACGAGGTATGGAGGCGAATTCTACAAGTTCCAGAACGAATGGAAGAATTCGTTCGCTGCTGAAAGCTGGGCGACTTCCTCGCTCGGCGCCTCCGTGGCCACTGGAACTGGCAAGTGCTAGCCTTGTCACCTGTCTTCCCGCGCCGCGCGCCGCGGGAACGTCTTTTGCGCTCAGCCTACGTCATATTCCAACAGCGCACAGAACCCCTGCAGCAGTCCTTGCACGGGGTAAAAAAAAAAGAAAAAAAAAAAAAGAAAGCTCGCAATTCAAGTCCAAACCATCACGATACTGTCTACTGCGCCCCGTCTTCTCTACATTCTCCAGATGGACGACGTGAAAGTTGCTCGCGCCTCTTGTCACCGCGTCTTGCTCACTGCCGAGCCTACAATCGACAGCCTTGTCCATTTTGTTTTAATTTCTTTTTATTATCAATTTTGGTGTTTAATAATAGTACACGCAAAGCACCGCGGTCTATCAATGTCCGACTTTATGGGCAGTTGTTGTGTGTGCCCGCTTGCTTCCTCCTTTTATGACATGAAAAGAAACATTTAAACCAGAGAAAGAAGAAATCCCTCTGCCTTCAACACCAGAAGAAAAATCAAAATCAGAAGAAACGTAACTGGGGGATGATTGTAAAGCGCAATAGCAAAACGCAATAAATTGGCTGGTGGGCATCAAATGAAAAACGCCCCGTCGCCTTCATGTTTTCTGTTTGTTCAATTTTTTTTTTTTGTAAAACTGTTTTCACATTTTCTTGTTCCCTTTTCTGGTATATCAACAACATGCCTCCCCTTGTAACGCTCGCTCGCTCGCTCATATCGTATTGAGGTCGTCGGGCGGAGTCGTTTACAGCTCGTCGTGGTCGAGGGGCTCCTCGTCGGCGTCGCCGCCCTGGCTGTACATCTTGCTCGTGATGGGGTAAGCACTGGAATATGTCAGTAAAAGGTCCTGTTCAAAAGGAGAGGTGGTGGTGGCGGCTGTTGGTAGGTGTGGCTTACACGTTGGACAGCTTCTCCTTCTGCTCCTCAAAGTCCTCCAGGTCAGCAGTAGCGGCGTTGTCGTCGAGCCACTCCTGTGCCTCCTTGACGGCCTCAATAATGGTCTCCTTGTCCTCGTCAGAGATCTTGCCGCCCAGGCCGTCCTCGTCGTTGACCTGGTTCTTGAGCGAGAAGGCGTAGTTCTCCAGACCGTTGCGGGCCTCGATGCGCTCGCGCGTGGCCTTGTCCTCCTCGGCATACTTCTCGGCCTCGGCGACCATGCGGTCAATCTCCTCCTGCGTCAGGCGGCCCTTGTCGTTGGTAATGGTGATGCTCTCGCTCTTGCCGGTACCCTTGTCGTGGGCCGACACCTTGAGAATGCCATTGGCGTCGAGCTCGAACGACACCTCGATCTGGGGGACGCCGCGGGGCGCCGGCGGGATGCCGGTCAGCTCAAACTTGCCCAGGATGTTGTTGTCCTTGGTCATGGAGCGCTCGCCCTCGAAGACCTGGATCAGGACAACAGGCTGGTTGTCGGCCGCAGTCGAGAAGATCTGCGACTTGCGGGTCGGGATGGGGGTGTTGCGGGGGATCAGCTTGGTCATGACACCACCGGTGGTCTCAATGCCCAGGGTGAGCGGGTTGACGTCCATCAGGACAATTTCGTCCGTGCCCTCTTCGCCCGACAGCACACCGGCCTGGACGGCCGCGCCAAAGGCGACGGCCTCGTCCGGGTTGATGCCCTTGCTGGCCTTCTTGCCGCCAAAGAACTCCTCGAGGAGCGAGATGACCTTGGGGATGCGGGTGGAGCCACCAACGAGCACAATGTCGTCAATCTCGCTCTTGCTGACCTTGGCGTCCTTGAGCACCTGCTCAACGGGCTTCAGCGTCTTCTTGAACAGGTCGACGTTGAGCTCCTCGAACTTGGCGCGGGTCAGGGTGTCGGACAGATCCTTGCCATCGAAGAACGACTCAATCTCGATACGGGTGGACATCTGCGACGACAGGGTACGCTTGGCCTTCTCGGCCTCGCGCTTGAGCTTGCCCATGGCCTTCTTGTCGGCAGTGACGTCGACGCTGTGCTTCTTGTTGAACTGCTTGGCGAGGTGGTTGATGATGCGCTGGTCGAAATCCTCACCACCCAGGTGGGTGTCACCGGCGGTAGCCAGAACCTCGAAGACGCCCTGGTCAATCGACAGCAGGGACACATCGAACGTACCACCGCCGAGATCGTAGACAATGATCTGGCGCTCGCCGTCGGTCTTGTCCAGGCCGTACGCGATGGCAGCGGCGGTGGGCTCGTTGACAATACGGAGGACGTTCAGGCCAGCAATAATGCCGGCATCCTTGGTGGCCTGGCGCTGGTTGTCGTTGAAGTACGCGGGGACGGTAACGACGGCGTGGGTGACCTTCTTGCCCAGGTAGCCCTCGGCGACCTCCTTCATCTTGGCGAGGATCATGGAGGACACCTCCTCGGGGGAGAAGGTCTTCTCGGAGCCCTTGACGTCGACACGCACAAACGGCTTGTCGTCCTTGTTGACAACCTTGTAGGGGAAGTGCTTGATGCTGCATGGTTGTTAGCGATGTGCTTTGGGGCCAATGCATACAGAAACATCTCTCACGGAGGCAAAACAGGCACATACTCGTTCTGGACATCCTTCTCAGAGTACTTGCGACCGATCAGGCGCTTGATGTCGAAGATGGTGTTTTCCGGGTTGCTCGCGGCCTGGTTCTTGGCGGCTAGAGGAGAGTTAGTATACGTTCCAATCGCCAAGTGCGAGCTTTGGGTGAAGTTGGGGAGGGAAATGCAACATACCGTCACCAACCAACCGCTCTTCGTCGGTGAAAGCCACGTAGGAGGGTGTGATACGGTTGCCCTGGTCGTTGACGAGAATCTCGACCTTGCCCTTCTGCATAACACCAACACAAGAGTATGTCTAGAAACGGGTTAGTAGGATATTCGTATTTGCTTCGGCCGTCCTCTCCGGGCCTCTTGGGGCTCCTTGGGAGGTTCGATGTTGCGCCATTCAGCTCGCAGGCGCGGGAAATCGTTTGACTTACGGTGCCAAGATCCTAGAGAGAGAAAAGGTTAGCATTGTGATCACGTTGCTGGTATTCTGGTTGTCTGGCTTCTGGTTTGTAACGTCACTGGGAGCTGAGTCCTACTTACAATACCAATAACAGTGCCGTACTCCTGGACGTCGTCGGCGCGGGCCTGGCTCACAAACGCAGGCGAGAAGAGAACAGCGAAGAAGGCCACAAGGAAGAGGCCCAGCCCCCACTGGGACGAGCTTCTCCGGGAAGAGGCCATTGTGAGGTGTGTGTGAAGCGGTGAAAAGCCGCAGAAGAGGGAAAGAAAAAGAAAATGAAAATGGAAAAGAAAAAGGAAACCAACGAAATACTGAAGGAACAGAGCTCGTATGCCTCTCAGACAACAAAGAGTCTGGATCAAGGGACTGGCGAAGAGCGGCGTGCAGATTGACAAGAGGGAGAGAAAAAGAGGTAAAAAGTTGGTGCGCGGAAGAAGGAAAAGAAAGAGGTGTTCCTTTATATGCGAGGTAGAATATCTCGAACTTTTTATGTGTCCCTTTTGGCACCTGCGGGTCGGATATGCTTTCAGGGCCAAAGAGGGCCGCCCTCGAAGAAAAGGTCCCGCTTGAGGACACCTGGCACATCTGTCCAATGTTGGCGGCGGGTGGCGCTTGCACGTTTGGATTGGGAATCGACGCGGTCAGGAAAGCACGTGACCACTTTAAACACACAGCTCCCCTGGTACCTGCCCTCCCTGACGCTCCCTGACTGGCTCCCTTGGGCTGCACGCCCCTTGATCGTCTGGGCAAGGCTCCACCCATTCACACACATGCACGCACTGAAAGGCGGCAAAGGCAGGCGCGCTAACCCCAAAAGCTACAACTGTCCTGTCCCACCCGACAACTCAGAGTGTGCCGGCCTCTTTGGCCCCCTGAAAACGCGGGACTTGGGCCCCTGAAAGCCAGGTGGCTTTGGGGGTAGACGATGAGAGGGCTGTCGAATGTGGTTCCGATCCCATTGTCAACGCATCCTATAAGCACACCTGTTCTTTGCTGGCTGGCACCTTCCCTTCCAATTCCAGTAAATGACACTTTTTCTGAGTCACTGTATATTTGGCCACAGTGGCCATGCTCCAGGCAGGAACGACCGAAGCGCACAATCCAACGGAGGAAGGCGAAAAGAAGGTTAGCAAGAGGGAACGACCAAGTGTCGTCGACAAAAGCTTATTTAGCTCGATTGTTCCATCTGATTCTACGGAACCTCCCAAGTCCCCTAAGCCCCCTAACGGAGCGTCCCCACAGGCAGCCCACACGCCGTCCAAGAAAGCGTAACTGACGAAATCAACCACCGGGGCATTAGCGGATGAGGCACCCCTTTTTCCTGCCACAGTGGCCTTTACATATGACATGACACCGACCTGACAATGCTCACCTGTTGGCCGTGCCACATCCACGTCGGTTCACCACACGGCATGATCGAGTCCCAAGACCTGCTGGTAATGAGTATTTGATTAATAAAAAACCTACATGAACGCAGCAGCCACGGCTCGTAATTAAACGAGGCATGCCGTCATATTGCACTGTTTGAATATCCGTCTTTTCTCGACCATGTGTCCAGAGCCTCTTATTACATGTTACTGCATCACATATCTGGCCAGATCAACAAATACAAAACTGGCATTTCGCATTGGAGATCGTCTGCCCGTGTACACTACAGTATCTGGCAAAATGGTGTGCAAGATGCACATGTCAAAAGTGGTCGTACGGTCTTTTTCAGCGGGCGGCTATGACAGCCTCGTCTAGCGAAAACGCACTTTCCAGTAAAGAAGGCTGAGTGCAAGGCCTCACCCGACGCAACTACCTCGTATGCTCATAAGCGGGAGCTCGTAGCCAGGGTATGCACTAAGCGAGATGTTTGCCGAACTGACTCGTGTAAGCTATCTGGTCCGTCCACGCTTCATAGCATCGCCACGCCCTTCCGCCATCTCCACTCAGATCGTGGATACATGGGCACCCCACCAAACACCATGCTTGCCCGGCTCGCCTTCTTGCTGCACGCCGCCATTGAGACGCCCGCGGCGGCCACCTTTCTCTTTGCGCCCCACCGCCAGGTCAGCCCGACTTTGCTCGCATCGGCGACGGGCGGCGGCGAGGTGGTGCTCCTCCTGCAAAACTACGGCGGGCTGCTGGCGTCGTCGGTACTGCTGAGCCTCGTCATGGCCACGTGGTCGTCACCGGGCCACCTGCGCGGCCTCGTGGCTCTCGCCCTTGGCAGCTACCATCTCTTTCCCAGCCGGCGAGCGTTCATCCGGCAGACGCAAAGAATCGGGCTGCAGGGACCACAAGGCCGGACACTAGGCGGCCCGGCTGTGCACTTGGCGGTCCACGTTGCCTGTTTTGTGGCGTTGACGTCGGCCGGTCTGCAAGAGCTACTGCGGGAAGAATAACGGGAGGCGGAGTTGCAGATTTTGGTGAACGGCACAAATTAATGATTTTTGACACGCACTTATATATACACGGCCCCCGGTTTTTGTCTATTCATAAAATGATACAACGCCAATGTGGTATGCAAGCAGGAATGACCAGAAAGAAAGGACAAAAAATGACCGAGTCCTAAAATTGGACTCTTTGAAGCCAAGCCGCATCGTCTAAAACAGCCGCAGACCCTCGCCCACACTGGCACCACCCATCTCCATATCCTCCTCGTCGTCATCATCGTCGGCACCATCGTCCTCCGCCAGCGCCATCCGCTGGCCAAACAGCGAGCTGAAGAAGCGGTCAATTGCCTCGGGCTCCCAGTCGCGCCGGTCCTCAGGCGCCGTAAAGTTCTGCAGTTTGGCGTGGACATTGTAGCGCATCTTGCGGCCCTTGCTGGCCTTGCGGTCCACCTGCTTGCGCGTCTTGGCGTCCTTGGCCGCCGTGGTGGCCCACCGTACCGTGGGCGCCACGCTACCAGGCGCCGTGCCGTCGACGGTCCGCTGGTCGACGAGCTCCTTGAGGAGCAGCTGGTAAAAGTCGGCGTCGTCGAAAATCTCCGGGTCCTCCTCGACCTTCTTGGCGGCCTGGACGGGCGCGCACGACCGCGGTGTGCGCGTGCGCTTCACCAACCGCTCGGCCGCGACCAGCTGGCCGTCCAGAACCGTCGACAGGGGCTGCGGCGCGGCCCCAGCGGTAAACCGGCGGGCGGCGGCGGCGGCCGATGCCGCCGAGGGACGTTGGATACGCGCGGCCCAGCGGTCAATCACCTTGCGGCGCTTGGCCGCAGCGGCTTCCTCGGTAACCGTCATCTCGTCAAAGATGGCCCGGCACGAGCTGTCGGTGCTGATGGCGCTGCGCCGTTTCCGCTTGGTGTTCGTACTTGAGCCGTCGGCATCACAAAGGGACGCACGGATGTCGTGGATCGAGCTCAGCAGCTCAATGGCCTTGGCGGCCGCCTCCTCCACGGCGCTGTCGGCGGCGGCTGTGCTGGCTGCGTCCTCCTGGGCCACAGTGTGCAGTGTGTTGGCCGTCGACAGAGCCTTTTGAATGCGAATGCGCATGTTAAGGAGAGCGTCAAATGTGCGCCGTTGCTGGCGGACTGCAAAACCTTTGTCGGCATCTGCCTTGGCCGACGCCGATATGGAGGAGAGCACTTGACGGCGTTGTTCTGCAAGGATTTTCCGTGCTTCCTCCTCGGCCTTTGTTGCAGAAGCGTCGAGCTCGTCGTCGTTATCCTCTTCCTCCTCCTCATCTCCATCGTCGTCGTCGTCGTCATCGTCATCGTCACCACTGGAAGCCATGTCTTCGACCTCGTCGCCTTCGCTGTCATCCGCATCCTCTTCCTCGTCGTCTTCGTCTTCGTCCTCTTCTTCCTCACCCTCCTCGTCCTCCTCGTCAGAATAGACTGGCTTGCCCTTGGGCGTCTTGGGCTTGCCACTCCCCCGGAATGTAAACTTCTTTATAATGTCTTCATCGTCCTCGCCAAAGGCTTCGTCGCTGTCGATCTCGTCGTCGGTGTGGACCTCCTCGGCGCCCGCAACATCGACCGCGTCGGGGTCGTCAAACTCCTCGTCCTCGTCTTCACTTTGATCTTCGTCATCCTCGTCGCCCTCGTCCTCGTCGTCCTTCTCATCCTGCTCCAGCTGTTTCCGGCTGACGCGCACGCCTCGGTAGGCCGGCCCTAATGCGACGGGCTCGTTCCGGCGCAACTTGCTTTTGCCGACCTGAACATAGTGCTCCGTGTCCTGTGTATCTTCCGGCGCGCTAACTTCGCTGTCACTGCCGGCGTCGCCGTTCCGGTTGTCGCTGTCGTCGTCGACGGGATCTTCGGTTTCTGGATCGAACTCTGCAGTTTCGTTAGCAAAAATGGACTATCCCATTGTTATATTTGCTCAAGTTTGTTCTCCGCCTACCTTCGGCCAGACTCTGCTTCGCAAACAACTGGGCCGCGAGTCCCTTTAATCCCACCATTGTGTCCTGTGCCCTGTGTGCTGTGCGCTATGATGTGAGATGTTGGGGACTCGGAGTGCCACTCGATAAAAAGAGAAATGGTGCCGCGTTTCGATCGTGAACAGGCCTAGAAAAAAAGTTTGGCTTGGGAGCTTTTCTGCCATACAGAAAAATACTGCCACTAAAAAGCTGCGCTACACCGCCTTATTTTTAACGAGTAGCGCCAGAATCCATGCAACGTTCCTGCTGTTCTGCCGCTCCAAACCAGCACCGCCTTCCCTATTTAGAAACCACCTGCGGGGCGCCTTCCTCACCTGTAGCTGCAGCGCTAACGCCGCTAATTCGTACCTACCGCCATAATACAGTGCACCGTCTAAGCTGTGACGTCTCTCCATCAAAACAATCAACATCACCAACACGGCAAATACATAATGTCTGCCTCAATTCTACCCCGAATATACCGTCACGGCGTCAATTCTTTGCGGCCGTGTGTATCCCAGTCCTACTTTCACAGTGTCTCCAAGTTGCAGCATGAGAATCCATTAGTATATACAGGCCCTGCATCTCATAATCACATCATCCATTTCCAACATTGCTGACACAAAGTAGGGTCTGCCAAAAGCTGGCACGCCGCCTCGGCTGCAACGCCGATTGCCGGACCGTACGCCTATCAAGGGCGTGGCCAAGGTGATTATAGTATCCTCGGCCAAGGGTGGTGTTGGCAAAAGTACAATAGCTGGTAAGTTGTCTCCACGAAACTAGTTCACTCAAGATCCAAAGTTGTGTCCAGAGAGAGAGAGAGAGAGAATAGCGACGGTCGAGGCTAACAAGAAAAGCCAACCTCTCTCTAGCCTTTGCTCGGCAGGGCTACCGCACTGGCATCCTCGACACCGACATCTTTGGCCCGTCCATCCCGACGCTCTTCAACCTATCCGGCGAGCCGCGCCTCTCCAGCGACAACATGCTCGTTCCCATGTCCAACTACGGGGTCAAGACCATGTCCATGGGCTACCTCGTCCCCGAGGGCCAGGTCGTCGCCTGGCGTGGTCTCATGGTTAGCCGCGCCCTGACCCAGCTGCTGCGCGACGTCGCCTGGGACGGGCTCGACGTTCTGGTGATGGACCTGCCGCCGGGCACGGGCGACACGCAGCTCAGCATCGCCCAGCAGGTTGTTGTGGACGGCGCGCTCGTCGTCACCACACCGCACACGCTGGCCGTGCAGGATGCCGTGCGCGGCATCCAGCTGTTCCGCAAGGCCAATGTGCCGCTGCTGGGCGTCGTCCAAAACATGAGCGTGTTCTGCTGCCCCGGCTGCCAAACAGAAACGCACATCTTTGGCAAGGGTGAGGGCGTGCGCAAGGCATGCGCCGAGCTGGACGTGCCGCTCCTCGCGGACATTCCGCTGCACCCCCTCATCGGGGACGATGCGCACCGGGGCAAACCAACGGTCGTATCGGAACCCGAGAGCAGCAGAGCGCAAGCCTTTTTGACGTTGGCTAAAGACATCGGGAAAACAATTGGGCTGTCTTAGATAGTGTATATATTTGTGTATTAGACGTGAAGCACGCGAGATCTCCATTGAATAAATTTATTTACTATGAGAGGTTCACTGTGTTGTATATTACTTTGTATTTTCTACTAATCGTATTTTTTTTTTTTTTTTTGTAAAAAATCAGAAAATTATGTCAATGTCCTTTATATCTATTTCAAGAAAATTAGAACCGGTGACTTCAATTTATAGTTATCAAACAACAAATAAAAGTCGAAATCTAACTGTATGCATAATATTTTCGCAAATAAAATTTTTAATTGATTTAATTTATTCTTCCTACGCTACTTCAGCTGCGACCCATTGTCGCCGAGCGTGTGTTTGGATTCCCGCCGTTAGCTATGTTCGTTAAGGGTAAAAAGGTAAGGGCAGAAAGTGACTGTCAGAGAGAACCAAAGATGCAAAGAACTCAGCGCCTCTTTCCAGTCCTCGTAGTACGGGACAGGATCTCGTCGGGAAACGAACGCGGGAACGGCAGTCGGCTTCAAAAGCGACGCGCAAGATCGGCAACTGTGAAAAAAATAGAAGAAAACAAAAACACAACGTTAGTCCACATCATCATTGGTCTGGTAGATGTGTCGACTTCTCGTGACATCTTTACGCATGGCCTGTCCGGAGCCAATGAATCCGACTATAAAAGTTAGCATATGCGTCAAACGAGAACAAGGGAGAGTGGTGCGGTGGGAGCGTACCTCGTCCTTGCGGCCCGTCGGGCGTCCGGAACATGCTGTCCTTCTTGCTGCCTGGCTTGCCCGTCTTGCCTTTGCTGCTGAACTCCTGCCACTTGCTCTTGCCGGCCTCGAGCTGCTTCGTGGCCTTGATCTTCTTGAACTTCTTGACGGGCGGCTCCTCGCCGAGCGGCGTGGCATTTGTGGCGGTACTACCGCTTGCTGCGCTGCTACTGTCGCCGTTGTTGTTGACATTGGCTACACTGCCGGATGGCCACTGCTGGTGCTGCTGGTGCTGCTGCTGTTGCCGTTGCGGCGGTTGTGTGTACAGTTGGGGCGATGCGGACGAGACGACACCCTGGCTGAAGCGGTCGATTGCGCGGAATCGGGACGGTGGAGGGATGGCTGTAGATGTCGATGCAGGAACGGGCGGCGCGGCAGCGACCACAGCCGCGGCCGATGGGTGCGACGCCGGTGGTGGAGGTGGAGGTGGCGGTGGCGGCAGACCATGGAGATGTGGAGGCTGTGGCGGCTGGGGTGGTGCCGGTACAGAGGGTGCCGACAAAGAAGAGGGCGGAGGAGGAGGAGGAGGAGGGAGGGGGCGGTGTTGGTGTCGACGTCGACGGCGACAAGGGTGTCGCACTGCTGCCGTCGGCCTTGCGCTTGGTCGCTGCTGACGACGTGGCGCTGCTGCTGCTGTTTGCCGGCGCAAGGGGCCGAATGTCGCGCGCCCGCAGCGTCTCAATCGTGTCGTACGACTTGAACTTAACTGTGTACATGGGCGCCGTCGCCGACCCCGTCACGGACATGATGCGCGCCGGGTAGAATCCCTTATCGCCCGTCACCCAACGCGCCAGGATGCTCTCGTTGACCTTGTACACAACCGGCGCGTCGTCGTGCGTTGCTGCTGACGCTATTGATGTTGTAGTTGTTGCTGCTGCTTCTGCTGCTGTCGCCGATGGTGCTGTGGGTATCTCGGCTGCTGCTGGGGTTGCCGCCTTTTTGCTGTGCTCTGGTTTCAGCTCCGCAATGGACGCGTCGATGATCTCGAGTGCCGACTCCAGCTCGGCCTTGAGCGCGAGAAGCTCATCGTTGCCGGGGTCATCATTCAGCGAGCCGACGACGAGGTCGAGCTATAGGAACGTATGTTAGCTACTGAAGGTCAATGCAGTGTGCGGAAGATAAGATTGCCAGTACCTGTTCCTGGTATTGGCCCCGGTCCTCTTGGAGCTGGGCGAGTTGCGCACTCATCGCGGCGGATGGACGTCGCGGTCGGGGACAAATGTAGGTATATGGCCGCGACCTGTTCTTTTGGTCGGCGTGTCGAGTTATACGAGCTAGAAAGTCAGTTGAATGTTGAACGACGTAAGGCGTATGATGACGGAATGTCGATGTGATTGGGAAGTGGCGATTTTAGCCTGACCTTACATTTCCGGATATAACGATATTCATTTATGCGTTAAACATACTACCGTCGTCACCTCGCATGGTTGTACTGCTCGAGTCCATCGACTCACGAGCTATTTTTTGACAGAATATGACATTTTGTGATGTAAATTTAGGTAACGTTCAAATAAAGATAGGTCTCTCTAAACAAACCTTTCTTTCCATAATTTCCGCCTCTCCCTCCACTTTGAAATCCTGTCGACGCCGTGGCCATGCGTGAATAAATAAAAGAATGATCAAAATAACCTCCGATGAACTTCCGAATTTGGCAAAGGTATCTAAATGTATATAAAATGCAAAGAAACAGTCATGAGAAAGAGAATCATAATCTAAAAAAAATAAAAAAATAGCACGACAACGTATCACTGCTTCTTGCAACTTGATATTTCGCCTAGCTTGGCTATAAGGTTTTTACGCATCGCTTGCTTCTGTTTGGGATTGGCATCGCTGCTGCGCAGGGCGTCGAGCGCCAATCGGATCCCCGCCTCGCATTCAAGGTTGGCACATCCGCCGCTGGCTGGATGAGGCGCATTGCACCGACGGCAGCGTGCAATGGGCGCCATGGACAACTGAACGACCATGTGCCGGGCCATGGCCGGCACTTGCGGCTGTGCAGTCTCGGCGGCCGGCTTCTTGAGCTTCTTGGTCGTTTTGGTTTCAGAGGAGGGCCCAGGTGTGCCTGCTGGGCTACGCGTGGAGGCTTTTTTGGGTAGCGCTGTAGATGTCGGTGCTAGAGGTGGTGTCGCAGAATGAGATTTTGTCGGAGGTCGTGTCGCCGGCGGTGGCGGCAATGATGGTGCCCCGGATGGGATCGGGGATGGTGCTGGTGCTGGTACTGGAACTCGTGCAGGCGCTGGAGCAGGTGCTGGAACAGGTGGAGCAGACGCAACAGACGGAACAGACGGAACAGAAGAAACAGGTGGAACGACAGGAGCAAACGTTTGTATTGACGCCGCGTTGGGTGGTTTCGATGTAGATACAGAGACCTCATGGCGTCTTGGCACTCGTCGGCTGGGGGTGAACAAGGCCGCTACGGCTGTTTCCGCGCTCGGATTTTTTTCGTAGATCTCGGTGAGATAAGCTTCCAGGGACTCTGGCGGACGCCCCGATTCGATCGTCGGGATACTTTGGAGGTCGGTTCGCAGCCATTCTGGCAGCGCATCGTACGCAACGGATGGGCCGCCATTTATCAAGTGCTGCACAATTTTGCGATCGATATTTTGCAAGGCAAGGATGGATCGGGGAATCTTGTTTTGTTGAGCGTAGCGTTCTCGGCGCATGTCCTCCGTGTCGACTTCCTTCAGGGTCGGCGCGCCGGTCGTGCTTCCGTTGTTTCGCTCAATAAATTCGAGCAGCGCCACCGCATGTTTCTCTTTCTTTAAAAGGAGACTGCGCTGCTGCTGTCGGTGGACTTCTTCGAGCACAGCCACTTGTGAAAGTTTGTTTTTTCGCTTTTTGTACAGATGAAGTAGCTTGTTTTGAGATGGTGTCTTTGCCCAGTCGGAGGGAGTAATGGTTGCGCCGTAGGCCGCCGTGGCAGCGAGATGCGGTCCCTGCTTGTCGAGAGCCTCCAGCTGCTTTCGGATTTGATCTTCCTTGTCCCTCCACCACTTTTTTTTACTGTTGAATTTCAGAGAGTCCCGATTTCGAACGTGGTATGGTATGTTGAGATCGTCGGGGCCGTGTGCTATAGTCTTGTCGGCGGCACTGGTATCGGCACTGGCTGCATATTGCTTCTGCTGCTGGGAGGTCCCGGTGGCAGGGAGTGGTGCAGAGCCATTGGCGTTGGAGATTGCGGGGGAATTTATAGCTTGCTGCTGCTGTTGCAGCTGCTGTCGTTGCTGTTGCAGTTGCTGCTGCTGCTGCTGCTGCTGCTGTCCAAGTCCTTGCCGGACAGGGTGTTGTTGCTGCACTTGAAGGTGTTGGATTTGCTGGAGTTGAAGGAGTTGAAGGAGTTGCTGGTCTTGCAGCTTCTTGTTGTGAAAGAATCCTGGCACAAGGGCGGGGTGGTCAGGATTCGCGGGTGCTGGGGCGGCACCGTTGGCAAGGTTGGGAGGGAGGGTAGAGTAGCTGCCTGGGGTAAATGCGCTGCCGGAGACGGGAGGATGGCCTGTTGTTGCTGTAAAACTGCCGTTGGTATATGGTGTGGATTGGGCACCGCCGGGGTAGCCGTTCCATTGATTTCCGGTGGCTTGCTGCTGGGTATGGACTTGGAACGGGGCCGGGCCGGTGATCTGGAAGTTGGCGTTGACAGGGGCGGCTTGGCCAACCATACCGTGGCCCCCATGGGGCCCATGGTGGCCTGTGACCATTGAACGCCAGTCGGATCTGCCTTCTGCAGTTTCTGTGTCTCTGTGTTAGCGGTGGAATTGACGGTGGCAGTGTCATTGACCTTGCTTGAGGTGGTATGTTGCGACGATGCTGGGTCTGATGTGTGCGGCCGCTTTGCAGCTGGCTCTCCAGAAGGCGGCGACTTCGGCCTAGGAACCTTCGCCGTGGCGCTCTTTACAGTGTCCTTATGCGCATCCTTGGGGTCCAGCTTTGGCCCTAATTTACCGGTGGTCGCCACCAGCTGCGCCTGCGTTGCCTTCTTGCGGCCTGTTTTGTCGCCAGTAGGCGTCGCCTGGCTCCCTGTCGTCCCTCTTTCCATCTTCTTCGCCGGCTGTGCCTTGGTCGACGGGGTCGTCTTCATCTTCTGTGAGGGTGGAGGGATGCCTGCCACTTTGGTTGCTGGCTTCTTGGTCTTGGCTGTGATGGCTTTTTGCGGGGATGCTCTATTGGGGGTGGTGTTCTTGGGGGCGTGTTTCTTGGGGATTTGTTTCTTGGGCGTTGCGACCACCTTCGGCGATGCACTCTTTGTACTTCTTGCATTCTTTTTTCGCGTACCTTGAATTTCAGCCGCAGCCTCTGTGGCTGTTAGGTTGGCTGCCATAGACTGGCCACGGCTGCGGCGGCGGCTGCTGCCAGCGCCGCTGCCGTCCTCATCGTCGCTCGAGGACGCATTATCGTTGCCCGAAAATTCGCCGTCGCGGTCGTCCTCGGACTTATCGCCATGGTCGTTTCGTAGCGCGACCTCGTCGCCATCTTCGTTGTAGTGTGGCTGCGTATACTTGATCTTGTTGCGCCGGCGGCCGCCGCGGCCGAGCACTTCACGCTGCATCTCAGCCAGCCGTGCTGCTTCGGCCTCGCGTTCGCTGATGATCTTGTCCCAAACACTTAGTGCGGCTGCATTGGTTGCCTCACCCGCAGTACCGGTCGAGGTAGTCAGCTCAATGTCGTCAGCGAGGGTGCCGGTCTCGTTGGCCCAGACTCGTGCAAACGAGAACTGGGACTCGGCCGTTTGCTCGTCGTCGGTCCGTGTATTTTCGACCTGCGAGCGGTCAAGCAGCTTATCGACGGACGCATCGTCGTAGATAATGCGATTCTGCGTGGCCTCTTCGCTAAACAGAGCCTCAGCACCGTGGCGCAGGATGGACTCGAGGTCGTTGCCGGCGTCGTCCTCCGCGTCCATAGTCTCGATCAGGGCGTGGTCCAGGGCCATCTTGCTGCGTCCTATCTGCATGATTTTCTCTTCGACGCTGTCCTTGGTCATAAATTGGAAACAGAGCACCTTCTTTTTCTGGCCAATACGGTGGGCACGCGAGAAGGCTTGCATGTCCTGGTGCGGGTTGAAGTCCGGATCGAGCACGATGACAGTGTCGGCCGTGGCGAGGTTAATGCCCACACCACCTGCACGGGTCGACAGCAAGAAGGCAAATAGCTCCGAATTGGGGGCGTTGAACGCGTCGATGCGCTTCTGCTTGTCCAAACTCGACAAGGTGCCGTCGAGGCGCATATATGAAAGGCCCGATATGTGCAAAAAGTCTTCAATAATGTCAAGCTGGTTGAGGAACTGACTGAAAATGAGCACACGGTGGCCGCGCTCTTTTAGCTTGGGCAGCATGATCTTGAGAAGCAGCAGTTTGGCCGACGCCTCGATGAGGTTGCGGTGCATTTGCTCTATGTCAACGTTCTTGTCTTCAATGGCCTGGCTGTATACAAAGGGGTGGCACAAACACTTGCGCAGCTGCATAAGAATGTTGTTGAGACTGCCGCGCTCTGTTGCCTTGACCTGGCCCTTGGAGAAGATGGAGCGGATCAATTCCGGGTTTTTGGCCATGATGGACTTGCAAAGCTTCTCCTGCACGACGGTCATGGACACGGGAACAATGATTTGGGCCATGGGGGGTAGAAACTTGAGGACTTCTGCTTTGGTGCGGCGTAAAAAGTACGGGCGAATGAGCTTGTGAAGCTCCGGAAGATTCTCAGCAGTGATCGTGCCATACATCTTGTCGAGCTCCGTCGCATTGTTGGCGCTGTCGATGAACTGGAGCAGGTTAAACAGCTCCCGCTTGTTGTTCTGGAGCGGCGTGCCAGTCAACAACAGCCGGAAGCCAATGCGCATCGCCCTCAGGGCCAGATAGAGCAAGTTTTGGTCGTTTTTGAGGCGCTGGCCCTCGTCCACGATGAGGCCCGCCCAGTGCGTTTTGTGGAAGAGGCGGCGGGTGTTGTCGTCCTGCGCCGAATCATAGGACATGATGACGACGTGGGCGTGCATGGTCTGTGTGCCATCTGGAAACAGCTCATATTTGTAGGCCATCGACTGCGAGACGCGGCCGCCGTGGTAGCTGACGACGCGTAGGTCGGGCGCCCAATTCTTGATCTCGCGACGCCAATTGCCACATGTCGAGTTGGGCACAACAACGAGGAACGGCCAGCAGCGCGGCGTCTCGAGAATCAGCGTGGCAAGCAGGGCGATGACCTGCACAGTCTTGCCGAGGCCCATCTCGTCGGCGAGGACGACGCTCTTGCCCTTGTAGTAGTTGAGGAGCAGCCAGTTGAGACCCTCCATTTGGTACGGCATCAATTTGCCACGGCGTAGGACGGCGGGCTGCTGGGAGATGACTTCAAACTTCTTGCTGGCGGTAAAGTCCTTAACTCTTTGGCGCATCGCGTACTGGGAGTCGTTCTTGAAATGTTTGCCGTTCAGGTACTCGTCGTAGGCCGAGACAAACGTCGTCCAGCGGCGGCCAGAGTCAGGCGGTGGCGGCTCGTCCCACACGGCGGCATCGTAGCCAAGACCCTGGAACTTGACCAGGATCTGTTCCACGTCGCCAATGCGGGCGAGGCCATCCTCTTTGGAGGTCGACGGGCCGTTGCGGTTGTAGCGCACCATGAGGATGATATCGGCAAGCAGATATTCCTCGGGGATGGCGTCCTTGGCCTCGAAGATGGGCGGCACGCCAGCCTCGCCGTTCTTCCGGCCGAACGTCTGGCGCATGCGGCTGTGGCAAGCACCCCAGACCCAGGCGCCCGGCCGCCACTCGCAGTGGTCGTGTGACTTGCTCTCCCACTTGATTAAGTACTCCTTGTCGTCCTCCTTGACGTTGTTGTAGTCCAGGCCGGTCTGATCGCCGTCGCGCTGGATCGGACGCCAGGCAATCAATCCCTCAATCTTGTTTGTCATGTCCAGACACTCGCGACATTTCCCGTCAATGAGATACTCTTCCAGCCGCTCCTTGCGAATGTTGGCATCGTCAGCGTCCGTCCAGCTGGCTGAAGGGGGCGGCAAGTGCTCGTAGTGGAAACCTCGGCGGCACTCTGTGCAGCGGAAGAGTACGTTTTCGGCATTGTTGACGAGATTTTGTGCCACAGGTGTGATAGGATCCACGCCATCATTCTCGAGACGGAGCTTCTCTTCCTGCTTGGCGGATAGTTTCTGGGAAAAGGGCGCGCAAGCAGGGCCCGTCTTGGAGCACACCTGACACGTATCATGGCGGGGGCTGTTGGCGTCCTTGACTTTGGCCTGACCGATACAGAAGCGGCATTGAAGAACGAAGCTGTCTGGAGCCACCTTGGTAACAGCGTGGTCACGCGTTCGGCGGAGGCCAATACACTGCTTGTGGAAAGCGAGAGAGCAGCCCTGGCAGTAGATCATGATGCCCTTGTTGGGCGTGTTGGACGGGCTGCCACACGAGTTGCAGATCTGCATGTGCGCGTCCTTGAACGCGGAGTGCCCGTCCAGGGGAACAAAGACCTCCTTGACGTTGATGATCTTGGGTTGTGCGGGGACACGGTCATCGTCGACGAGGAACGACTCGTCATCATAGTTGGTAGGGTCAACCATGCTCCGCTTGTTTCTTGTGGTACGAGACGACCGGCGGGCGCTCTCAAATTCGATCGATCCGTCACGGGTGGAGCGGATCTTGTCTCTATCTGGGATGATTTGGCGTCGCCGGCCACGACCGCGCTTGCGAGGGGGCTGAAGATCGGACTGGATAGTGGGGATGAAGTCGGCATCGTCTTCACCACCAAGCTCGTCTGCCTCGTCGTCCTGCATGGGTGTACGCGTCTCGGAGTTGAACGCCCGAGTACGTAGACGCCGGCCATCGCCTGCCTCGTCGCTGTGGTCATCATTGGCTGCGGTGACAAGGCGCGAGCTATACCTAATGCCGGTCCGACCAGTGTCGCCGAGAAGACGTAGACGGCGGCGCTGCATGTTGAGAAAATTGTGAGACTCGATGCTGTCCTCCTCCATATCCAGGTCTATCATATCGTCATCCTCGTCGTCATCGATAGCAAAGTCACAATGACTGCCGAGGCTGACGCCACGGCTGGCGTTGAAGCTCATGTCGTTCAAGTCCGACATAAGACGGCGCCGTTTGAAACCGCTCCCTGCAGACGAGAGCTCATCTACGTCCTCGAGTTCTTTCCGCTTGAACTTGTGTAATGCTTTGCTACCGTTAGGAAGGTCGTAAATTTCTTTTTCGTAAAACTAGACGGTCCTGTTAGTTGAATTAAACTTTACAAAAAAAAAAAAAAAAAAACCCAACAAAAGCGACTGTGTGGATTGGGCTGGTGCAGTGGTCAAATGACCGAGATAGCGAAGAAAACAAAGGAAACCACGACGTTCTGTACGGACAGCCTGAATGCTTGCTTCGCTCACTTTCCAACTGAAGATGGTCTTAACCACACATGACAAGAGATAATGGCTGTGTGAATAGTACAAGGTTTTGTGGGATGGAAAAGGAAGATGAGAGACTGAAAGTAGGAGGTAGAGGTCTTGGGAGAGAGGAGTTGAAAAGTGAATACAACCCAATACAATAAATATGGGACTTGAGTCTTATGACGTTTTGGGAGTCGTGAAGGTAGAGTGAGAGTTAAGGGAAGGGGCCGTGAAGGCAAGCATGAATGTGGTTTGAGATCAGATCAAAGTGAATGTGAAAACGGGCCGGGTAAAAAAAAAGTACCATCTGATCATGGCACAAGCACTTGCGCCGACAAGGGTGGCATGAATGCGAGAACAACTGATCACGGCACAACTTACCTCGAAGCGCCTACCATCGTCATACTCGATTTCGTAACGGCTTCGTCCGCGCACGCGTGCAATGACCCGATAGACATAGTCGCTCGGCGCGCAGACCTCGTACTCTGCATGGCGGGATTCTGGTAAGGGTTCGACGACGACTTCGAGGCGGCTCCCATTGCCGGGCATAATCAGGCCGGCATCTATGGCATGCTCACCGGTACCGTTGTCGTTAGCATGGTCGTTGTTGACCTCGCCCATGGAGCAGTCCTGTTCGTCAACATCGTCTTCGTCTTCGTCTTCGTCATTTTCATTTTGGTACTCGTCGTCGTCGTCGTCGTCGAGGTTGCGGCGACGATCCAGCATGCTGTCATCTATGTGGTTTGCGAACTGGTCGGACGTGAGGATGGGATGTTGCCGATCGTCTGCGTATTTGCCGTCCTTGGCGTGCGAGTTGTCGTAGGCACCCTCCGTGCTAGGAAAGACGTCACCGGGACCATCGGATAATTCGACCTGGCGTGGAGCTATATCCGAGGCGACTACTGGTAGAGGTGAGTCCTCGTTTGCAAGGTCCCCCGTGCCGTCGTCGCCTTTCTCTACCGTGGCAGGTGGTATATCTTGGATGTCCTCGCTGTTGCCAAACACATCGTCGATAATCTGCTCGTCACCGTCGCTGCTGTCTGCCTCAGGCTCAGGGGTAACATCGTCGTCATTTCCAACGCTACTGCTGTCGGCAGCGTCGTCCTCGTCATCACTGTCTGCTTCTTTCGCATCGTCCGCGCCGATCTCGGGAGGTGGTATTGGTGGAGGGTCGAACTGTGCTTGTGGCGCGGCGCTGTCGCCATGGTTCTCGCCTTCCTCTTCCCCGCCTCCGTCATTGCCGTCTCCGTCCTCGCCGTTGCCGTGCTCCTCATTGGCGTTTTCGCTGGGGTCCACCGCGTCCTCGAGGCTGCCGCTGGCCCCCTCCACGCCTGCACCTTCGCCATCAAAGTCGAGGACGTCGCCCCAGAGGGTTGCGGGGTCGATTGTGGGCACATTCGTCTCAAAGAAGTTGTCGACATCCATGCCAAAGGTTCCGTCTATACCGTCACCACCCACAGGGAGGTGGTCGTCCGCAAGAGTGCCATCACCTCCGTTCCCGCCGCTAAAGAGTGCGAACGGGTCGTCATCGTCGTCATCGTCGCCGAAGCCGCTCATGGTATCGTCATTTCCGGGAGAAGTGGTGTTTGCCGTCAAGAAGGGAAGCTTGATTTGAGCCAGAGGAGCTAGAGGAGGACCAAGGGGGTCAGCAGTCGTCCACAAAAAGCATCCTAAGTTGCATGAGACGAGCCCAGCATGACGCGCCTGAGCGCAAGGGAGCAGCATACCAAGGGCGCATTGTACATAAAGACGCCTGCTTGAGGCTCTTTGTTGACGTGTGAGGGCGGAGGAGTGTGTTGAAAGTGTAGATCCTTTGGTAGTCGACACTAGCGAGTCGTAGTTTCCTTTTTCCGTTCTGTGTCAAACGCGGAGACGTTGATTTGGGAAGGCGCATTGGACGAACGACGCGAAGCGCTGTTGAGTCTGTGGATAGAGCGGAATGCACTATTCAACCGTGAAGTACAGTGAATTTATTACCCAACTAGGCACGCTAGGGTAGCAGGTTAAGGAGGGGCCACCCTGTTCACGCAATTCTTCGGTCACTCTTTCCCCACGATAAGTTTGCGACGCGTTGGGCGCGATAAGCGATAAGCAAGTGTCTCCACTATAATTTAGGAAACTCTTCAGTGGACGACAACAATTCTCTGTTGTATTCTTTTGTGCTCCATATTTTGTACACAATCCCTTTCCTATATCTGCACTGCCCTCCACACAATGCAATGCCTCCCTTGACGACATCGCCTGCGGTGACCGCCCTGCTGGCGCCTCTCCTTGTCTCGAACCATGCACTGCGCATTTTGGGCCGTCGACAACAACAGCAGCTGGCCTTGAACTTGTCCCGCCATGCCGTCTTTTCGCGCCATTCGTCCATGTCGGCGATCGTCCGGGGTCTGCGCCGCTCGTTCCGGGACCCCGACGGCAAGCGGCCGCCCGGCTACAACCCCGAAGTGGCGGCGCATGTCAGGCAGCGGCGGCAAGAGCGCGAGGCTGCCGAAGTGCCGAAGTACAAGCTCTTCCGGGGCAAGAAGGATGTTACGAAGCCACCCATTCCCAAGGCCAAGACGCGGCGAGCGCGGTTTTTTGATCCGGACGACGAGTACGGTAAGAAGAGTCTTGTGTACCAGGCCAAGACGGGCAAGCTGGAGGTGGAAGTGAAGTCTCTTGCGAGGCAAAGGGCGCGTGACAAAGGAGAGGAGGAGTACGAAGAGAGGGATCGGCGGTCATTCCGGAGGGATGATGGTGGGCGCCGCCGCCGAGATAGAAGAGACAACGACTTTGACAACGACTTCGAATCGCGGTCGAGGTCAGGACGGACAAGTGGTGTGTCTTTTGGCGGCCGCGATGGTCCGAGATCCAGACAGGGCGTGACTGGACGACGTGACCGTGACCGGAGAGGCGATCGTGACGAGCGCCGGTCATATGACCGTGATCATGCTCCCGAGAGACGTGACCGCAGCTTTGAACGACGATTCGACACAAGATCCGACACGCGATCCGAGCGCCGCTTTGGCCGTGATCAGCGCGAGGACTACGATGAGGAGAGGAGCCATAACCGGGATGATAGACAAGACAACGGCTTTGACATTGGGCGTGATAGCAGACCTCGTGATTCTCCTGCTTCTACGCCGGTCCCTCTTTCGATCCCCTACACAACGGCTGCGTCGCAGTTCCTGTACGGCCGCTCGGTGGTCGAAGCAGCACTGCGCGCCGGACGGCGCCGGCTCTACAAGCTCTACGTGTACGGCGGTTCACACCGCGGCACCAATGCCAGAGGCACGCCGCAGGACCAGGGCGTCGGCAAAGTGATTGAGCGGCTCGCCAAGGGCCGCGGTGTCAGCGTGCAAATCGTCGACGAGCGCTGGCAGCGGCTGCTGGACAAGATGAGCAAGGGCCGGCCGCACAACGGCTACGTGCTGGAGGCGTCGCCGCTACCGCAGCCACCAGTGACGGCGCTTGGAAAGTACACCGATGGGACGGCTCCTGCAACTACGGATGACGTGGCCTCCTCCCCCTTGACAAAAGGCGCTGGCTTCTCTGCCGAGATGGGCTACCAGTCGCGCGAAGAGGCGAACGTCAACGGGACAGCGGTGTTTGTGGCTGTCGATGCGGCGACGGCGCGCTACCACCACCCACTGGTGCTGCTGCTCGACCAGGTGCTGGACCCGGGAAACCTGGGCGCGATCCTGCGGTCGGCGAGCTTTTTGGGCGTCAGTGCCGTGGCCGTATCGAAGCACAGCTCAGCGACGCTGACGTCGGTGGCGCTGAAGGCGTCGGCGGGTGCGGCTGAGGCGCTGTCACTGTTCTCTGTTGAGACGCCAGCGACGTTTTTGGCGGAGTCGCGCAAGGCGGGCTGGAAGGTGTATGCAGCCGTGCCGCCGCCCGAGGGCTACATGACGCGCGGCCTCCACGCCAAAATGCCCGTGCTGGACCTGGATGGCCTCGAAGCGGCGGACCCGCTGCAGACAGAACCCATCATCCTGGTGATGGGCAGTGAGGGCGAGGGTCTGCCGCGGGCGATCCGGCGCGAGGCGGACGTGGAGGTCAGCATTGCCAACCGGTCGGGCACCAAGGTGGTGGACAGCCTGAACGTCAGCGTGGCGACGGGTCTGCTGTGTGCGTCGTTGCTCAAGGGCTCGACGCGGGCTGTTGCCAACGCCGGTACTGATCATGAGGCTGCCTTTGAAGCAGCTCTGAAAGACGAGGCCACACCCGCAGAGTCTGCCAACGATGAGAAGCCGGAGGGGACCAAATCGCGTGACGAGCTGGGCATCTTCTAAGGTGTCTCAAGAAACAATCAAAAAATTTAAAAACGTGTACGATAGGATATGTACGACAGGATATGTACGACTAGACAAAGCGGAGCGTTTTGTATAGTTAATACGTTAATACCCCTCGCATCCAAGGGCATAGGACCGCATTTTGGAAAGGAAAATACAACGACTCATCTTCATCTTCATGTGTTCACAACCAGGCAGTCAGACAAACCCCGAAAGCTGCAGGCTCGTGTCGTAAAAACGTGGTGTAAGTGGTGGAAGGCAGCCTTTTCGTAGACGCCCTTTCCCTGGAGCGTGGCACAAATGAGGTAGAGTGCCGGTGGTGAGACAAAAGGCGGGCCGTAGCGATCAAGCGCTATGAATATAGGGCACAATAGTGCGAAATAGGGCCCTTTGGATGGAATGGCTGCCCGTCGCGCATTCCACAAAAGCACGTCGAGTCCAATGTCTATCATTGCGGAGATGATTTAAAATCGAATAGCATAGACAGATTGAATAATATCCATGAGTGCCATGCAATTGTATCCTTTTCCAGCCTTTCAGGCAGCCTTCTGAATTCAGGCAGCCTTCTGAATACTCTGAGAGGCTGACAGCGCTGCAGCCTCCTATTGGCTGACCAGCCTTAGCTGAATCGTTCTTTCGCACTTTCCCCGACCGCCCGATCCAGCGCCTCCACATTTCGACCCAAACGAGCTGTTGCTGTGGTTATTGGGCAGCCCACTTTTCGCGCTTGTGAACAATCGTCATTGTCTTATTTACATCCTCCTGGGAGAGAGACCCTTTTCCTCGTGGACGTTTGGCATTGCATGTGCGACCGACAGTGGGTACAGACCTTCAACGGCTTTTCTGCATTCCTCACATTTGCAATCTCTCTTTGATCTATCCATTTCATCGCATTGCCAGACAGTGCGACAGCCGACGAATCATCACCAAATTGGCAAACAAGTCAACAACAGACCGCAACGAAAAACGACCACATTTCCTCCAAAAACTTCCACTCCCACCATGCGCATCCACAGGGCGCTCCCGCCCTTGTTGCTTCTTGCTGTTGCAGAAGCCAAAGATGTCCACGAACTTCCGTCACAGCCGCACCAGCAGCAGCAGCAGCGACAAATCATCCCCTTGGCCGTCCGCAAGATGAGCCTCGACGAAGGCGAAAAGTTCTTCCCTGAGCAATACTATGGCTTCGACGGCGGCGACGACAGCAGATTTGGCGCGGTACACAGTAGGACGGATGGCCTCGGCCGCTCTCTGGCCGTCCTCTTTTCGTTTGGCCGGCGGTCAGTGTCCATTGCGACGGAACCCGAGACAATCGAGGCGCGGTCCGACGATGGGCGGTGGCCCGTCGTCTCGAGGAGGACACCTGACGAGAGAAGCATAGAAAACCCAGAAGGCGACAGCACAGATATTGGAGCGGTGCCTCCCCCGACAAATATGTCCGAAGCGACGTACACCGCTCGCCTCTTCCCGCAAGCTTACCTACCGGCCTTCCCCGTCCACCAAGCCATCGACGACGACAGCCAACGGCAAAGCTCGATCACAGACAGCGCGAACCCGGCCGTCGAGCTCGTCCGCCGAGCGGCCGATGCGCTCGCCCGTCTCCAGCGCCGCCAATGGGGCTGTCCCACGGGCACCTCTAGTTGTGAGAGCATTGGTTACCCCTACAGCTGCTGCACCGACAACGAGACGTGCTACAAAGTGACCGACACAGGCCTGGGCCCCGTTGGTTGTTGTCCTGCGGGCGAAACATGCGGTGGTGCTGTGTCCGACTGCAAGTCGGACAGCACAGCATGTCCCAAGAGCTTGGGTGGCGGGTGCTGCATTGCGGGCTATGTGTGCCAGGGCGTGGGCTGTGTCAAAAGCAGCAGTGCTGGCGCAAGCACGGCGGCAAGCACGGCGGCGAGCACGAGCGCGAGCGCGAGCTCGAGCACTCCTACATCGTCGACGTCGGTGACCACGACCAGTTCACCAGCGTCCTCCAGTACCACTTCCTCGACAGCCTCCACGACATCCGGCGGCAACCCGCCTGTCAAGCAGACGCTGACCACGACGGCCTCGGGTCTGCCGGCTGGCTACTGCCCCACGGGTTACTATGCATGTGTGGCGTCGGCTGGTGGTGGCTGCTGCCAGACAGGCCGGAACTGCGAGACCACGAGCTGCCCACCCGCGCCAGCCACGACGACAATTGTGAACACAAATGGCGTTACGGTCGTCGTGCCCCAAACCGCCGCCGAGGCCGTGACGACATCCTCGGCAACATGTGCGTCCGGCTGGTTCCTGTGCGGTGCCAATGCAGGCCCCGTGGCTGGCTGCTGTCCGAGCGGCTATGCCTGTGGTACGGCAAGCTGCTCATTGACAGGCGCCTCGGCGACGACGGTGCAGAAGGAGCTGCCGACGGCTGGCGATGGCAGCAGCACAAGCAGTGGTGTCCAGTCAATAGCCGGTATCTGGTGGCTGGCTGTGGCTGTGGCGTCAATACCACCACTGCTATTGTTATAAGCCAACTGCGTGTTTTCGCTTTATGTTCTTTTACGATTTAAGCATTGTATAATTGTGCATTCGGTGTTTATTTAGAGCGTGCGCTTGGGATTTGTTTCGGGTGGCCATGACATATGGGCGGTGCAGGGCGTTTAACGGCGTATTTATATACAATTTTATGTCTTTTTCTTCAACTATGACCTTCTTTTCCTTCTTTTTTTGTTCGTTCTCAAACAGTCCAAAACGAATTCACCCGAATGTCAGCCTGGTGTCCACAAAGACGCCCACCAGCCAGCCTCTCGTTTTGTCAAGCCGGCCTCACATGCAGGCTAAAGTTTCTCCGCCCTTTACCTCCATTTCCTTTTTCCCGGAGGACGGCTGAGGCAAATAGAGTAGGATGGGCTCAACAGGTTGTGGGTGTTGACATGTCGTCTGTTGTGCTTTATACCAAACGTTACCGAGAGAAGAGGCCACCACAGGCGAGATGAAGATTGATGGCACGGCAAAACGAGGGTGTGTTCGGTGAGGCAGCAGTATGACGAACTCACCGCACAATATGGGCCGTTCTACGGGGTGCAGATGTACCAAAGCATCACCAAGAAGAACAGACAAACGTGTCTCTCTGCCCGACTACACACCACTTTTGAATTTCCTTTATTTCCCTTACTGGTCTTTTCACATGGAGGATGTGCATATTTCGCTTATCGGACGTGGCTGGTGCGCAAGAAAATAATGAAAATAAGAGAAGCAGTGGATGTCGACCAGCGCCAGGTGATATCCACGACCGACATTCCCCATCCCCGTACACGCGGGTCAAGGCTAAATTGTAAAGATGAGACCTTACAACACACGTTATGAGCCTTTATATGTGTCTTGGTATGTGTTTATGTCTGTGTCTGTACCAGTGCCAATGCCAGCGTCTGTGTCGCGTTTCATTCTTTTTTCGCCCTATTCCCCGTCAGTTTACCTTTTGACTTTCCGATTTTCCGATGGAAGGCCCTGTTTCTTCGTCTCCCAGCGCCGATCTGCACCACACGTGGAAACAAGTAAACAAGTCGGTCAAAGAAACACGATAAAACGGATACACCCGGAAGTCGCCATGTCACACCCTCTCACACTCAAATATGTGACCTTGTGTCTTATCTACTCCAGCAATCGCTATAGTCTACTCGTTCTGGGCAGTGCGTAAAATATAGAGTGTCCTCTACGATAACATGCTTCTTTGAGAGTGTCAGTATGCCGCAGCCCCATTTCATAGTTTCGTGTCCTCGTTTCTCTTCGCTGGCTGCTCGCTTTTCTGGCTCCATTGCATCCCGTTCTGAATCTAGACTCTCTGTCAATTTGCCTCTCGTCCAAGATCTACCTTTCTGAATGGCCACTCGGTGTGACCAGTTGTTGAGAAACAAGAAACCCTCGAGGCGGGCCTGATATGATATTCTCCACCCTGTTACGCTGCCTCTCGGCCTTTACCATCGTCCACTGGCTCCTCTCCCCTCTCCCCATGTCCCTATATAGCCACTTCACGATGTTTACATGGACTGGCCTTGGCCTTTTGCGTCCAGATTTCACTCCATCCCGTCGTCCTGGGCGTCTTTTCCTTCTCACATTGCGTCCGAGCCCAGGTTTTCTTTACTATACTGGCCCTCCCACCTTGTCCTGCTTACTCTCCGGCCTCTTCTGACTCTCCATCCTGCTAATCCTATCGTGAACTCACCGACTCTCCCGACCGACATTCCCGTTCTCTTGGCATTCTGTGCCTCCATTTGCCCTCCTCATCAAATTTATCCTGTCTGCATATCCTTTTCCCCTCTCCCTTCCCCTTTAAATTTTGTATTTTGTCCTCTCCTTTGTGCTCTTTCCCCTATCGATACGCCGATTGTTCCTTCCTTCCTTACTTGTACCCTTTTTATCGTCACTGGCTCTTTCCTTTGTTTTGTATTCTCCCCCCCTTCACGATCGTGCCTTCCTGGCGCCCTCCCTAGCTGCTGCGATGCAGCAGACTACTCGACATCGGCCAATGGCCTCTTTGCTGAAGGCTGTCGTCGTCGCCGCCGTCTCCATACCAGTCGTCTTCTGCGAGCCTCTTCCCTCTCCAGCACCAACGCCCGTTCCTTTGTCCGCGCCCGTACCCGTCGCTGGTGTCATTGCCGGCATCGATGGTCCTCCCACCACCACCGCCTACTCCGATGAGGTCTGCAAGCCCCCAACCGTCCACCCGTTCGATCCTCTACCGCCCTGCGTCGACATTGAAAACATTGAGACCCTCTGCTACCCCAACGGCACCGCCCCGCTCTACCTCGCTGCCCACGCCCAGTGCATGTGCCGTGGCTCCTATTTCCCCGAGTGGAACGCCTGCCGTCGCTGCTTGTCCGTGCACGGCCAGCTGTCCGACCACGACCTCGCCTTTTTCCAGAGCGTCGCCTCGGCCGCCTCGACATCGCTCTGCGGTTTTTTGACAGCAGGCGGTGGGCGGCCCACGACGACGCCCACGGCCATCTTCCGCGACCTGTTTACCAGCGCCCAGGCCCACCTGACGTCGCCGACCGGCGCGGCGGCCACGGCAGCCTCCTCTGTGGGCCCCGACGTCTCGCCGAATAATACCGATGTCGGCTTGTACTTTACGCAATCGGGCCCCGAAGGGCCAGGGTCCATCACAGGCAGCGCCACGGCTGCGACTGCAACAGGACTGGCACTCGCCACGGGGCATCCGCAACCACCGGGCGGCGCATCGGGCTCCTCTCTCGGTGCATCGGACACGTCGGCGCCGTCGTCAGGCTCGTCGCCTTCAACCTCCGCCTCCGGGTCCGCAGCCAGCCAGAGCGGTAGCATCCCATCGTTGGCAGTGCGCGTCGACAGGTCGGGAGCTCTACTCGTGGTAATTCTCAGCGCCTTCTGTGCTTTGTGAGCTACCGAGGACGGTGAGAGACGGTCAAAACCTGTTGGGGACAAAGCAAAGGTGATTTGGTGTTATTTTGGCTTGGGGCTTTTCTAATTCATGTGTTTCATGTCTTTCGTCTTTTCTGTCAACCTATTTTGTGCTTATTCATACCCTTCTCGGAGAGATCATTGGTTGTTTGGAGGCCATTCGTTTTGTTTTTATTTTGCCATTTTGCATTTAGCGTATATTTCTTGCATATTTCTCGTGTGTTCTTACATCTTCTTATAGATTTTTACTTTTGTAAGTGCATGCTCTTTTACATTGCTTGGTTATTTTTGACCTTCTTAGATTGAAATGTAGTTCTTTTTTCGTTTCGTTTATCGTTCCTTTACATCCCACGTAGGGTCGATTTCTTAATAGTTAAAACAGCCGAACAGTTCCAGCTCAATCCAGCTCGCTTCAAATGCTACACACCACCGACACAATGCTCCGTTCAACGCCCAACCCTCGCTGCAACAATTCCATATCGTTTTTTTCGTCCTTTACGACAATTCCCATATGTTACACAATCTTCAGACAAACGTCTCATAGATTTCAAAATTAACGTCGTCGAAGAGCGTCTACTCCGGCATGTGCTCGAAAGCCTTCTCCAGGTGCTCCTGGCAGAAGGGCAGCTTGCCGACGGTCCAGATCTCGGTGTCGGGCTTCAGGGCCTTCTTGTACTCGTTGTCTAGGGTGCCGGCCTTGATGGCAATGATGGGCGGGGCGGACTCGGGGTCGTGGGCAATCGGCGAGCCGCAGTCGCTGCAGAAGATGCGGTGCACTGGCTTGCCCGAGCTGCCGACGCCGGCCCAGCTCTTGGTAGGGCCTTCGATCTTGAGCTTCTCCTTGAGGGCAACAAAGACGAGCGCTGGATTGTTAGCGCGGGTGTAAAGCTTTCACGGGTCAGTAAATCACTACAGAAGCACATACAGTACGTCGAGCCCGTCTGGCGCTGGCAGTCGTCGCAGTGATCGTAGCCACAGACGAGCGGTGCGTCCATGTCAATCGTGTATGTGACAGCCTTGCAAAGGCAGTGGCCGGTGAAAACCATGGTGGCGGTAGGGGCGGGGGTTGGCGATTGTTAAGTGGAATGACAATGTTGAGCAATTTGGGAGAATTTTGGATTGTAGACAAAGTGTCGTCGATAACTCGTAGCGTTTCGTGAGGATGTTGGAGAAGGAGATGCAGATGTAGACGGAAGGACGGAGGGGAATCGAGGAAAGAGCTATCTATATATACAAGTTGTCGGCGGCTCTTGCCTCTTTATTCGTTTCTTCTTTTTCTTCTTTCTTTTTTTTTTAACGGTACTCGACCACTTCTGCATTAATTGGGCACCGTTATTACATATTATTACATGCCCACAAACCAAAAACTAGAACACAACGCGCCTGCCCTATGTTCCGCCAATTGTCATGCTCCAAGATTCCACAGAGCGTCGGGGGTTTGCAGGAGAACATGACTCTGGGAGGGCCGAGTCAGTGCGTTCCTTCCCCCTGTAACTCCTTCGTCTTACACGCCCCTCCCGCACACCTTCCCAACAAATGCCGCGCTGTGCGAGTACGTAGTTTGAAATGGAAAGAGAGTGTACAGTCCCCCAATTCGCCGAAGTCAGGAGACGGTGACGCAGTGTCAATACGATTGCGGGGTGGGAAGGAGCTATCGACTCGGCGACATGTTGGCGCCAATTGGCAGGATGCGATACTCAGACAGCCCCCGTAATCCCAACAAAGGGGAACACGACACTAAAGTTCCATGCGTCTGTAATCTGGAACTCCGTCGCAGAGCGAGCCACGCTCTTGATAAGGCCGCGGGTGTCGTGAGGCGACTGGTGTACGTCGTATACGACGTACTTCGGTCGCTATACGATGTCACCATAAATCGAGAAAACTTCGCGTTTTATTACGGTATGTCTGTCGACGTCATGGTCCTTCCCACCCTGCGATCATATTTCTGCAGCTCCTTCACCCTTTAGTGTATGTGGCTGTTTCTTTTTTAGGAATTGGACTGTTCTTTTAAACCGAATATCACACAGGTGCTCTTTGCCCGTAGAATTTCCATTCCGCCCTTGCCTTTCGGAACCTGACCGGAGAAACACTGAAAT